CATGAAGAATTTACTTGAGTAGTAGATATGTTCCATTTTCAAGGTGAAAATATGCCATGTTTGACGTGAATTCATGTACAAAATAAATAAATAAAAGTTTAGTATGATCTCAAATTGCCAATGCTTCATATAATTCTGCTTTAATTTAAAATAAGATGAGATATTAAAGTAAGATATACAAATAACCTTACTATTAACTCTGTAATAATGCTAGATTGGTTGAGCGAACTTTGCACAAGCAAAATATACACAAATTTGTTCTTTCAAATTCATTGCAAATTCCTTGCAAATTCATTGATAAATTTTCTGTGTATAACATTTCATTAAAAAAATGTAAAATATGCGTGTTTATTTTTTTAATATACCGAATTACAATTTTGATCTGAATATATATTTTTCTTTAAATTCAGCTTAAAATTACTTGAGTTTGGCTAGATTATCAATGTAGTGAATAATACTTTGATCAACATGTAATCAACATCAAATACCAACATGCTTTCTTAAGCTTTTCATTTTGTTTTATGTTGTTCGTTGTCTACTATAATAATTTTTGTAAAGAAAATAACATTGAAATTGTACTGCAACAGTATTTGGATACATACGTACATATTTCATCAAAAGTAATTTAGATGTCAATATTAAATTATAATAGGAATACCTATCAAATGTCAATAAAAATAAATGTTTTTAGAAAAAAATTAGAAATACTCTTCATGTATAATTCTGTTACTATTTTTCCATTACACCTTTATGTGTATAATACACAAAGACATAACCCTCGTAATAATTCGTGATACAGTGAAATTCTTGTGATAATTTTACTGTAAACTAAGAATCTAAAGATGATACAAAGCATTTAAGAGTTTTTGATGCAAATCAAGATAGATATGTTTTGTCAATTATCAAAAAGAGATGAAAGATACATTAAATTATTCTTAAATAAAATAAAATAAAAATCTTCAAGTAATTTTATTATAGAACTAATAATAAAGCATTAAACTTGAAATTTCTCAAATTATGGTTTTAACAAATAATTTGAAGTTAAAGTTAAAAGCAATTGACTTGCCATTGCTCTGGCAGTCCTTCTGGTCTTTAAATTGATTTATTTTCAAATCTGTAAAATTCAAGTGAGTCTGATTTTTTTTTAAAAATAAAATATTTGTTGTATTCTTTCTACAGTGTATATATTAATTCCTTTGAAATCACGATTTCTAAACAGAAACCCAATTGCACTTTCCAACAATATTTATTTTCAAAGATTAATACAAGCAGGTGGCAAAACAAAAGCTCTCTTTGTGGGGTATTCATGGGGGGAACAGGGACAGGGAACACTGTTCCCCATCATGGTTCATGGGCATCCATGCTCTCTCCATTGAGAACATGGGGATATCCAAGGCAGGGAAGTGTGTGAGTGTTCCAGAGTATGTGGAGAAACCGTGCTGGGAATGGTGCTTAGTACGGTGCATACTTGGTACAGGCACCCATTCATTCAACACTGGACTGACTGACTGAAGCACTGAAGCCCCATCATAGCCACCATTGCGTCCTGCCACACCGCATTTGGGCCCCTGGAAACACACCAGGTCCCCCATTAGCTGACAGAATAGTACAAGAACAAGTATAGAGAAGAAGAAGACGAAGACGAAGAGTATGGCATATGGTTGCCTGCCATGTTCCACACGGAATCTGTTGCACAGGGCTGCTGCTATCAATGGAAACAACACCCACATGCTGCATCAAATGATCATGATGCCAGCTTCTTTCACACCCTTTGTTTCTGAGAGGTTAGAATTTGGCATGTGACACATTTTTTAGGGTTTTGTTTTTTTGGATCGCATGCCCATACTTCAATCTCCTCATGACCAAAGCCCTCTCATGGTCCATGTGCTCCCCATATTCACTTATTCACAAAGCTCACCTCCACTTCCATCATTTTTCTTCATACAATCATCCATCAGCTCTCTCTATTTCCACCCCCTTGTCCACTCTTTGCCATTGCTGTGTTTGCCAAGTGGGTGTGTGGGGACCATGGGAGAAGAAAAGAAATAAGCATCCAACATGTTCCAATGATGGATCAATCAACCACATAGCTTCCAAAAGACAAAAAATATTCATTGGAAATTCAAAAAAATATTAATAATAATTACCTAAAGATACCATCCAAAACAATACCCACAAATAAAATAAAATAAAATAGGTACTGAATGTTGGTGTCAAAGGTATGTTCAAGCAACTTTCTGGGAAATTAAAAGAGGGAAAGTATTTTTCTACCAACCATTTGATAACCTAAAATTTGGATAGAAGCCATTGTGTTGATGGCCAATCCATGTCAAATAAATTTCCTAAGCCCTTGGGGAAAGCAAGAGCATGGGAGAAAGAGGAGGGGGCTTTTGAAGCCACAAGCACAAGTCCAAGCCAAGCACAAGCAGTGGGAACCGTGCCATGGCTTGGAGAACCCCATTGGGAGCGTGCGCACGTGCGTGCGGGAGTTCCATAGGATTCCAGGGCTAACCCTAAAAGCTAAAAGCTAAAGGGAATCCCGGACCCCCTCTTCTCCCACCCACCGCCACCCCCCCCCCCCGAGTGGTAGGCAGGGAACTAGGTTCGGGATGGGGTTCGAGACCAGGCCCAGTACCAAAGCTGGTATGGTACGAAGGAGGAGTGTGTGAGATTACTGACTGTTTGGTATTATTATTAAATGAAGTGTGTGTGTCCCCTTGCCCCCAAACAGGACTTCCTGGTTACAGTCAAGCAAACCAAACGACGCTTCAGACCAGGCGAACGACCAGAAGGACGAAGAAGCCAGAATTGGGCAAACTGGAGTTCGCTTACGTGGAGATTAAAAATATATACACATAGAGATATTTGTATTTATAATTTATATCCCTCGTCCTTCACTACTTTTATCTTTCTCTTTGTATTATTGCCCCCCCCCCCCACTCCTTCCCCCAAAGGCTTAGGAAATTTATTTATCTACCTTCCTAGCTTGTATGTGTAAGTATGTGTAAATAAGTAAGTGTATATAAGTATGTGTGATTAAGTATTTGTGGGTACACAATTCATAAGGGGGGGGGGGGTAGTGGTGGTGGCAGTTAAGGAGGGAGGTAGGGAAGGGACAGGAACAAATCTGAATGAAATCCAATAATACTTGGCTGATTCCCTTTTGGAGTTTTCATGGGGATGGGTATTAGTAAGCCATCAACAAACTAAATAAACATACTATACTGGGGGGTTGTATTATAGGGATTGGTCACTTGGGAATAAATATATATATATATATATATATATATAGAATTTCATTTCAATTCATTTATTTTATTGTTTTATTCTTCATCTTCTTTCTTTCTACTTTTACCTTTACGTTTACGTTTTATGGGGTGGAAAGCGAGGTCACATACAGTAGAAAGAGAACATCAAAACAGGGTATTCTGTGATTTAAAACGATCCAATATTAGCCTTTCAAGTTTGATGCTGCCTTGAATGGAACCAGATGAATCTACTAAAAACACACAAAATTAAAATTAAACCAAAAAAAGAAAAATAAGAAAACAATTGTGGGAGGACACTCCATTCTGGGCAGCTAAATTTGTGTTCTAGGTCTGTCTTAGGTGGAAAATTGGAAGCACTTGAGATTTTTCCGGATTCAAATTGAAAACACAAATAAAAAATATAAATCTATTAATAAAACCCTTTCTTTTGTTTAACTATTTCCACTATATTCCCAAAGCCTTTTCAAACCCAGGTTTCCCTATTCCAGCCATTTATTTTCTCCTAGGCTTGTTGGATTTCATGGCGGTGATTGTGCAAATCTCCACGTAGCAAGTAGTGAGATTGGCCGGCAAATATAATGGGAAAAAGATATAAAGAATTCTATGTAAGAATCTTCACTGCAAAGCCTTTGATCCAATTTCATTAATTTTTCTTAGTTGCTATCCACATGAGGTGGCCACCGAGAAGTGATTTCCCAGTAATAATAACCCAGCATATATGTAAAATTCAATTCAATCTTAACAAAAAGAAAAAAGAAAAACTTCGATGTCTATGAGTTCTTAAGTTGGCACCCCTCCTTCCACACAAATGTGCTTGCATAGGATTCTTCTGTTGTTCAAACAAATAAGTAAATAAGATTTTATCCTCAAATTTCTTGAAGTTAGAAAAATGGCACTAGATTTTCTCATCATTCCATAATAAACAATCTAGATTGACTATACACATGTTTTGAACACACACACACACACACACACACACACAACACTATTGCACAACATTTGAAGAAACCAAGAGTCAAACCTCCATCATCCATTTTCCAGAAAAGAAAGAAAAAAACAACAACCAAATAAAAACAAATTTACTCAAGCATCTTCACCACACAGACAAATCAGCAATGATGCCCATGATACTAACACCTGTGCTTCACGCCAAATTATATATTCATTTTAATTTTTTCTAAAATTGTTTCTTTTGTAATACAGGTATTTAGATATGTAAACACACACATGTGGGTGTTTTTGTGACTTAGCGGTAAACTTCCCCTTCAAGCTTCTATGAAGAAAAACAACACAAGTAGACATGAAATGGTAATCTATATATATATATATATATATATATATACATATATATACACACACACACACACACACAGAGAAATGGAAGGAAAAGGGGGAAAAACAAACATTAACTAACTACCGGTGAGGAAGGGAAACATTAACTATTCACCCTGCGGCTTGGCTTCCTGGCTTTGCTGGCTGGGTTGCAGCAGCAGCAGCAGTAGCCCCAGCCTTTGCGAGGTTCATCCTTTTCCTTTTCCTTCCTGAGTCAATGGAGATAGCGACGATGGTGATAGCAAAGCCTCGAGCTTTATCATATATTTGTTTGTTTTTATATTTATTAATATCTATCTCTGTTACTAGGTTTCTGTCTTTGTAGCCCTGCTGCGGTGAATACTAGCCTGCTCGCTACATCGCGCACTATAAAGCAATCCCATCTCAGCACTACCTCCCTCATCATCCCACTCCCTTGCCCCAGATCCCCCCCTTGCCAACAAACTCAGACTTGTTGCGCCACCTCCACAGCTCACCTTTGCTTCGTAAATTGATGACGATCTCCGCGTCGTCGTCGTAGTTGTTGTTGTGGTCGGTACAGACGTGCTGTGTTAGTGCTGGTCAGTCTGTTGTGATAAGCGTGGTTGGGTTTGATATCGGGCTGCGTGGACCAGTTTGGAACGGCGTGTATGTTGTTTGGGATTGCAGTGCAGAGGGCGAGAGAGAGAGGGGTGGGGTGGTTTGGTAGAGTTCACGGAGTTTGGAGTGTCGGACTGTGGAGTTCGAATGTGAGCGGTCGTGGTGTAATTTGGTAGAGAGTTAAGACAAAAGGGTCCGGAAAAGGGAGACTCAAGGAGTGTGCAGTAATATCAGGGATTTTGAGAGGAGTGAGTTGGGGTTTGGAGCGACTGCTGCTATTTTCCTGGTTGTGTCCAGATGAGCAGAAGTGTGTTCCTGGAGTGGTTGTGTTTGATGATTGCCGACCAGCCAGCTAGAGTTTGATTTTCGGAGAATTCAGACGGATCCAGACCTCAAGATCTTGAACTTTTCCCCTATAAATCCCTTGGAACTACCATAACCCCTGATCGGACACGCAATTGTGCAAATACTCGTGTCAGTTACCTACGCCACAAATTCCTCCACGAATTCTGCAAATATTTCAAACTGATACAATGCCTGGTAACATATCCAACCTTGTTGCACCCGGAACAGTTCCCACTAGTTTCAATCTCCAGTACTAATCAAGCGAAATTTCACAATGTGCGTTTCAGTCAATCTGTGTGCTACTTTCAAGAAGTTTTGTTTTCCTTCTTCTGGTGTTGGCTAGTGTTGTAACTGTGGCAGTGCTGTCGGTTTTTTTGTTCGCAGGGATAAACATCAACCTGGCGAATCCGTCATTGAGTACCAGCCTCATTGAGCTGAATCAACAGCAATTGTGGATGGACCCTGACCTGTGGGGTACTCTGCCGGAGCCCCTGATAGAACTTATCCTCGCGTATCTCCCCCTCCCCAAGCTCCTGCAAATGCGATCCCTTTGCAGGAAGTGGAATTGTCTTTTGCAGTCGCCCAATTTTCTCGACGCACAGCGCCGCACTGCTGCGCAATGCCACTTCTATGTGGTCACGGTCTCCGAGCCTGCTTTCTCGGCGTTCTCATATTACCAGAAAGGACCGGAGCTTCACTACCTCCGCAGCTCCTCACTCTACTGCCACACCTCGCAAACTTGGTTCAACTTGTCTCTGAACTTTCTTCCATTCTCGGATCTATACGTGACGTCCGTGGGAGGCGGATTAATCTGTTTCGTGGCGTACATGGGCAAGTCCAACGTCACAACCCGAGAGGTTGTGATTGGAATCGCCAACCCTGCAACCCGCACTTGGAGGCTGCTCCCCCGGTGGGAAGACAACACCGTGTGCCGCAATCTGCCAAATTTTGTGGCGATGGTGGTGGACAATTTCACCCGCCAGTATAGAGTCGTGGCGATAGACTACGACAAGACCTGCACTTACATGTACAGCTCGGTAAGCATGTCATGGGCGGAGAGCAAAGACGTCCCGACGCAACACAACTTTCCTTACTACGATCGCACGCCGTCACAGGCGGTCGTGACATCGACGAACAAGCTGGTGTGCACCACGCAGTGCAAGTCCGGCGTCTCGATTTACGACATGGACACGGGGCTGTGGGATTCTTACGAAGTCCACCTGCCCGGAATGCACAGCAATGTGCACCTTGTGCAGCACCGAGGTCGCATTCTCATGATCAGCAGGATCATGAAGGCGAAGTACGAAGGCTCCGACAGAGTGCAGATCTCGGAACTCGAACGCAAGGATTTGCGCGTGACCAAGGCCTTAGACGAGGTGCCAGTCGGTCCTTCCAAGCACTTTTTGGACCACTTCAAGGTGTGTGATATTGTTGGACCCAATGACGACTCACAACATGGCATGTGCTTTGTCTCTGTGATCACTGGCGAAAGGTGGGTATATGACTTGGAAGGGAGGTTCTGGCGCATCATGCCCAGCTGGCCCCGAGCGAGGAGCAAGAGCATGGCAGCTTACGGTGGGTTCTCGATCCAGTTGCGAGTCGACATACAACCTTGAAGACACACAGTTTCATCTCGAACGATAGGTCTCGATCTCGAGATCGTTTCTCATCATCGCAACAAATCGACATTAATCTTCCACCATTACTTTTGTAAAAAATTGCCTTTTGCCTCGAGAAACCTAAAGATCATTTCCAATCTGACATTTTATGTAACGATTAGCTCTAGGTTGAAGCCAGAAGCTGGTCGATTGTCTGAAACTGTACAAAGGAGGTTAATACTTACGTCTTCATGAAGGGCTACTATCGTTAATGTGAGTATAATGCAAGTTATAATGCGGAGTTGTCAGGTGTAGATAGACGATGTCGTGGTCATCTATCAGACTAGTTGCAACGAAACCAAGTATTTGTAGCTACTGTTCACATTCCGGGTCACTCATTGCAAGCTTGAGTGATGCAATCCACCGTGTATAGACAGTTCTGTTTTTGCTAACTTGTTAATATTTTGATGAAGATCCCTTACTATTGCAAGGGGGCCGTATCATTTTAAAGATCATTTCTGAACTGTACTGAGAATGTCAGGCTCTCTGGGCGTGTGCACAATGCGTAACAGTGTGTTGTTTTTGTAATTATGAACACGGTATGTCGCTCATTACACTCTGTGCATTCAGAGGTCGAGAGCTAATATTGCAATTTCCAAATTGGAGCCAATTGCGCTCGCACCCGCTCAGCTGGGCAAAGTGCCGCCCACATTCCAGTCAGCTATTTTCGGATAAATCCTGATCGGATGCAGCAAGAGAACGATTCATTGATTTCGTGGCAATAACAAACCCCCGTGTGTATATTTCATTCGGTACCAGCTTCTGTCATGGTCATATTTTATTGTCCAGTTGAGGGGGGAATTATCTGTTTTGTAGTCCACCACCATAGATTTAGCAGCGAGCATAATGTGGGCGACTTCCGAGACCAGTTTTCTCGGCGGTACAAAGCTGGAAGATGCGAAATGCCTTAGAGTGCTCCTTGAAGTGCTCTTGAAGCTGGTGAGACCACTTCGTTATTATCTAAAGAACCACCAGAAAAAAGGCTTGTGTAGCAGCCTCATTGGAAACTCACCCCCCGTTTGACTTCAACACCATTTTTCCTTGACTGAAATCCAAAGAACGAAAGTGTGCACCGTTCAAGTAACTTGCAGCGAACGCTACCTACACGACCAAGATTCAATCACTCTGCAGTCAGCTCCAGTTGTTCAAGAGACCACCAAGCTCAAGTCACGCTATCAATAGGCATTCAAACCCCCGAGGTGACTCATCGATGCTCATGAACAACGGCGCAGAACGAGACAGAACGCGTCTAGAATTACCTCTCCCTCCCTCTCCTGGAATTTCTGAGCTGAGTTCATCCGCGGCCAAGTTTCAAGTCCATTGATCGCTATCACTCCAACCAGTCCTCACAAGTTGCAGTGGTCTAGTTCTCGCATTGACTTCCGAGCCAGCGTCCTCTTGGCACAATCTTCGACTTGTGGGTACCGCCGAACTTTAGCACAGACCTCAAAAACTCTCTGCAACAACACCACATCTGATCACCGGAACCGGCACCACTGAAAGCTTCGACATCACCAAGGCAGTGTGAGAATGGCCACTAACGGAGCTTTGCTTCGTTACTTCATGCTAGTAGTCATTCTAGAACACCGTCCATACATCACAGTACTGAAACAATCCCTTCAAAACTTCGAGATTACTGCATGAAAATGAGTGTTCGGCCAACGCTTTGCACACACTATTTAGAGAAGCTAGTGATGGAGAGGGGCTCACTTGCTGTGAGTTCTCTTTAGTGCTCTGGGGTGGAGGTTGTTATGTGCTGGAGAATCAGCACACTGGGCTTGCCATGAATGTCAGAACATGGTGTTCTGTTGCTGATCTAGCACGCGACCATGACAATTCATTGTTGAATGTGTGTTGTTAGTGTTGTTTGTTTGTTTGTTTGTTTGTTTTTTTTTAATATTGTTCTTTAATGCAGGCTCTAACTATGGATTTTAGACTGTGTATTTTAATTGAAATAGTCGCACAAGGGAGATAGGGTTGTAGAAACATTGTTGAGTAAGATGTGACATGGTTGCATTGGTATTTTTTTATTCAAATAGTTTGAGTAGTGGTAGGTATTGGTGAAATAACTATTTTGCCAAAAAAAACAAGTCATCTTTCACTTTCAAAGTTGTGGAATTAGTATGACTCAAATGGAAAAATTAAAGATGTGTGAGTATTAAATCCTATTTAATGAACTTTATTCATGACAAGTTTATTTATTTATTTACCTTTTTAATTTATGGTTTTTAACATGATAATTATACTATTATAATTTTTAATATCTTTTCAGATTTTTTAATTATTTTTTAATTTTTATTTTAAAAAAAATCCTATTACATTCAATATATAACAATTATATTTTCTAGAAAATGAATTGATATTTTAAAATAATAAGTTTTTTTAAATTTTAGTTTGAAATTTTAAAAATTAAAAACTATACTATTCAAAAAAAAATTGTAAATATGAAGTCTCCACAATATAGTCTAATTACACCTAAATTGCATTAAGGACATATTATGTTTGTATTCATACCTATTATTTATGATATATGTATTATATATATATATATATATATATAGAGAGAGAGAGAGAGAGAGAGATTTATAATAGATAGGTTATATATTATATATAATAATAATAATAATAATACTAATATTATAAATAAAATAAAGACATATAAATGATAATAATAATAATAATAATATAGAAAATAATTCTACAAAATTATTGTATATGTGATTTTTTTGTTTAATGAACAATTTAAATCCATCCATTATCTTAAAAAATATTAAAAAAATATAATTTTGTAATAACAATGATTATTTTTCCAAATATTAGACATATTTTTTAAAATTTTAATATTCAAAATATTAAATTAAAATTACATTACTTCATAATTTATCTACATTTTCTATCAAAAAATAGAAGTAGATGCAACTTTAGATTCTGGTGTGGTCTATAATAAAATATTGCTCCACACATAACTTGCTTATAAAAATTTTGATACAGGATTTTCTAAATATGGGCCTAAATATATCAAATTTTATAAAATTGATGGGCCATGCCAAATCTTGTGTTCCAATTATTTTTCTTTCAAATGTAGGAATTGCAATAATAGATCATTAAATATTAGATCATAAAATTCAAATATAGATGGCTTATAGGAATTGTCTAACATGTGGTGCAAAACAATGCTTTGAATATAAGTTTCCATCATGGTCTAGTAGATAAAAGGTGGTGCACTATTGATTGATTGATTGATTGATTTTTTTTTTCTACCCATGGTACCTTGTTTTGCATGCCATAGATAGATATGTTTTTAGCAAAAATACCACTTTATTATTTAAAATCAACTATAACTCCACAACTTTACTTTAGGAATTCCAAGCTTCTTAATAATACTATTGTGATATATTAGAAATAAGATATAAATAATATTTTGGTATAATTTTATATTAATAATTAAGATATAAAATATTTTAAAATAAATTATTACATTTTTTCAAATAGAAAAATAATTTAATATATATATATATAGATATACAAATTTTTTTCTTTTTTCCACTATATTAAATAATTTTAATGTTGTATACAAATTTTTATGATAATATCTAAATTAAAATAGATATTAAATATATATGTACTTTCTTAATGCTAGGGTGTTAAGAATAAAATGACTTTTTAATTTAAACACTTGGTTTTTCTGAGGAAATAATATGGATTTGCAATTTGGAGTTGGAGCTGGTTTTGAGAACATATAAGTTCTGATGAATATATCTAAATAAGGTATAAGTTTGCATTCTAGCCTATATTTAATTCAAAATATGACTTTTCACCTATTTTTGTGGTACCCCTTAGATCATGCATATCATTTTGAAAAGAAGTGCAATATATGTATGTATGCATATATATATATATATATATATAATCTTCTACATTGCAATAACTATAAAAATTTGCCATATTTACAATATTTAGTTTTTAATTTTTTTTTACTGGGCCATAAGGCAAATTTCATTTTTTTTACATTTTTTACTTTATTTTTATTCTTGTATAGTTTTGTTCACAGAGATAAAGAATTTTGCTTATCACATGGTATCTGAATTGAATTTATTCTTTATTAATCTGTGCTTATATATATATATATATATATATATATATGATCTCTACACATGCTTATTCTGTGTAATTTAGACGCAGATTTTCATCTCACAACTTGAATAGTTTTTAAAATTTCAAAATATTTATTGAGTCTTATAAAATTTGATTATTTTTTTTCTATTATTTATATTTTTTTAATATTCCATATATATTTTTCAATGTAAATATGATATTGAATTTATTTTTCGGTTATTTGATTTTGTTGTTTCAATGTTTTAAGCTTTTATTTAATTTACTTCAACTTGAATTAATTACATTTCGAATTTTTAATCACTTTAATTCATTTCACAAAAAAGCTAAAAAATATTTTTAATTTTTTGATTTTGAATCTTATTGACATCTAGATCAACTTAACAATCATTCAAATTTGTGTTCTTCTTTGTTAAAATTCACCTTATTATTTCAATGAAACTTGTTTTGGTTCCCTATCAACGGTGCACAGTCTCTACATGCCTTGACATCTTCCATAATTGCTAATCATATTAATACAGTTCTTTATTATCTAAAGAATATTTGTATTACAAATATGTATAGAAGTCAATTTCTTTAAAATAATTTTTTTAGAACTTATTATGATATATATATATATATATATATATATATATTTATACACATACACACACACAAATGATTGTAACAATATAATGGCAACCCAAAATTCAATATTGAAATCTGTTGATTTGTGAATCAACCTGCAACTCCATATATACTACTTGTATCTTATATGCTTTGTAGTAACCAAATATTCGATTTAATAATTTCAAAAATAGAAAATAGAAAAAAAAAATTCAACAAAAATTTCAAGCATGAATTTTATTTATATATGCAAATGTGTATATGTGAGTAAAGATATAAATACAAACATGTACCATTTTTTTCTTTAGAAAGAAATCAAACAAACAACAATAATTGTGCAATTCTAAAATAAAGAGAAGACAATAAAGAATCTAACATGGAAGCCCCACATGGGCATTCTCATGCCCTTCCACACTTTGAAGGGTGACAATATATCCCATTATTTATCTAACAAATAAGCCATAAATGAAATACTAGGGACCAAATTTAAAATATTTGTAGATTAAATAAGAATTTTAAAACACAATACATATATATATATATATATATATATATATATTCATAAAGAGGTTTGAAGTCAAAGAAATTCTACATTGGAGCCCAAGGTAGGATGGGCGAGTTGGTATAATCCTCGTTTTGCATTTTAACGCATTTCAATGATAATCCTATGTTGTGAATTTTATTTGATTCTCAACGATTGTAGCTTAATCCGGAAGAAAACATGGAAAGATGATGTGTCATTGAATGGTGGGACAATGTGTGAAGTGATATAGAAATGTTAGCCTCCATCCATCTTTGCATAAATAAGTCCTTTCATGCTCATGGGTTTTGGAACCCAATCAAGCGTGAACATGCTTCAAGGAATTTAGAATTGCATATTCCCAATACACACTTTCTAAATTGTGCACTTTCTGAATTTTTCATCGAATACGGTGCGTAAAACATTAATGGTAGCATATTCCATTTGTGTTGTCACAGTGAGTTCAACTTTGTTCCCATTCGTTTGGTTTATGAAGTATTTCTTCCTTTTTATGATTTTTTACATTTGTTTTTGAAGAAAACTTAGACAAGAGCACATAAAATTATTATAAAAATATATATTATAATTTTTTTGTTTTGATAACAAATATTTAAGAGTGGTGTTGAGAATGTACTTACTATGTAGATGAAATATTGAGTATAAATTGATAGACTTGGTTTTGGAATTGTGCAATTACGTCAAAGGTTATTCACATTAAAACATAAACACCACATAAAAAAGAATGAATAAAATAGTTATAAATATATATATATATATATATATATAATCCATGATGTAATCATGAAAGTAACTTTAAAAGCGTTTTATTTTTCAAAAAAAATATTAAAATAAATAATGTTTTAGAAAGATTTCAAGATAACTTTTTTTCTTTTGCAATCAGCTTGGGAATCCATAAGTAAGAAACTGTATATTTTCCTTTGAATAATATATACCTTTAATTTGTGCACGCCCCATATATTTTTTTTAAATAATTCTGTTTTAATCAATGATGGTTTTACAGTTATTCATTTTATACTTGGATTATTCCATTTGTAGTTTAGATTTGTACCCTCTAAAACATTTTATTGTTCAATCTTGCATGCATTTTTGTCTAGTATGAGATATTTTGAGGTCTTTTATTGAAATTTTAACAGAAATTAAAAAGCATCTAAACCTTGACTTGATAATTGAAAAAACAGAATATAAAAAAAACTAATAAATATGACGGAAACTGTTGAAGGAACTAATAGTTCCTATGTTCTGACACATGTAATCCGCAATAATCATATCAATAATTTATTATTCATTTTAAAAAAATGTCAGTTGTGCATTCACTTACATTTATAAGATAATAGATTCCTAAAGATATGTCTTAAATATTAATAAACGATTCAATCACGGTAAAAAATAAATTATCATTATTGGCATAAGAACACTTGATTATTTTGGCTAGGTAAAAATTTGTGCAAAATTGGGTTGAAGATATGACTGTGATATCATAATTACCATAAGTTGAAATAAACTAATAGACATGATAGAATAAATTTAGAATTGTGAAAGCTAATTTATTGTTTTAAAAATTTTCAACTAAGAATTGTTAATTAATGTTTATGTCTTATTATTCAAATACATATATTCAATACCAATTGAAAAGAAATTGAAACATTGAAAGACATCAAATTGTCTTTAAAACCTTCATATATATTTTTATTATGTATAGGCACATAATTTTTAAAATTATATATATATAGTAATTTTTTATAAATAGATAAAAACGATGAAACATTCAAAATGATGATAGCAAGAGATAATTGCTAACCATTGTTTTTCTGAAATACATCAATTCTTGATTATTTTTTCACAAAGTATTCTTAATCTCTTAAAAATTACAATATTTTTAAAAGACTTGTAACTTTAAAAAATCGTTTCTACTAAAGAATTCTTTAACTCAATATTCTAAAATACATAGTAAATATTATTAAATAATTGTTTGCATCAATTAAAAAATATAGAATAATTGTGAAGTTTGTGCTCAAGTAAGATATATATATATATATATATATATATATATATATACAATATTCTTCCTAATAACTAATCTCCCAAAAATTAATCAAAAATTTGAGAAACAATTCTATTCTATGATAAATAATTAGTAATCTCTACTTTTTAATAATTAATTGATTTTATTTATTTTATAATTTAATAGAGATAATTAATAGGGGCCACATGGCTGGAAAGACTATGTGAGTATATGTGATTGGAAAAGGCAATGCCACATTGCCACGTAGCAAGGTAGAAGTGAGTAGTTTAGATTATACAACCCTTGCAAGAATGATATTTATCTTGCCTTTAATGCTCCACCTTTGATGATAAATAACCTTTGATAATTAATCATTTTTTTTCAAGAGATGATATTAATCAACAATCAAAATATTGTATATGTATAGATAGATGTAAATAAATATAATCCAAAACCATGATAAATGATAATCATATTCTTTACATTTTTTACAAAAAAGAAAATGATTATGCATCCTTATTTTATTATCTATAATAACTTTTTGCTATACTTTTTTATAAAATTTTTAAGATGTATTTTCTTTTGATTTTCTTTTTAAAAACATAGAAATAAAAATAAAAATCATACATAGATTTTCTAAAACATTGCTAAATACAATCAGTCCTTATTATAGTAAATCTTGTTAAAGTCAACTTGGATTGTAGTTAACATATTTTGCAGGTCTCATTCTACACCAGCTACACTATACTTCACCATATAGTCAACTGCACTAAATAATCAATAATTTCTTCAATCAATCTCTATTATAAGAGTTGATTGTATATATATATGTAATTCTATAATTACACCAAAAAAGCATATAAAAATATTATTATTTAATTTTTTTATAATATAGATTTTATCAGTATATTTTAATAATAGATAGTTTTAAAATGCTAAATATGTCTATTATCAAATTTATATATATATATATATATATATATATATAACTCTAAAGATTTTAGAATATAGGAAATTTATATTTAATTTTTAAATACATTATAAAGTAATTAAAATTTTTAAATATATAATAAAAGTAATAAATCAATTATCAAATTCGAAAATATTAAAAAAAATCTTTTGAATTTTTTATTAAATAATCAAAAAATTAAATTAAAACTTAAAATTTATAAATTTTATTTAAGCAATTTTAGAAAAACAACCAATTGAGCTTTAAAATATAAAAATACATACTTAAGGTTATTTTATGTGCAAAAAAATAATTTAAATCATACTTTTTATACCTATATCAACTAGAAGAAGTATAATAATTGTTGTTATATTTAAAGACTTAGATTGTTGCATTGCATCTAATATTTTTTAATTTTTTCTTTTAAGTAAATAACGTTATTAGTTATTATCAATTGCACTCCATTATTTTAATACATTACATCGTCCATTGTGATACTCTCGCCCTAAAAAAATTACTTTTTATCACCTTGCAACTACCTGCAAAAGTAAACATACTAATGTGTTTTGAATCTACCCAAACTATTAAATTTTGGATGTGCAGCAATTTCAAATATCCCTCCTACTCTGAAGAGTATCAAATTTGGATTGTTCGTGTAAGAGGAGCCAGGTAGTGTCTCCCTGGCGGAAATGACAAAGGAGGAAGAAAAAACTGGACTAATGGAGAAGGCTTACGTGAGAGTTACAAAGGTGCCTTGTGCTCCACTAATGGTCGTGCGGTGTACAGAAAAGACAGGCGGGGTGGCTATTTTTGCTGGAATCCAACATTGTTAACTGTCGTCATTTGTGTGCAGTACCCCACATTCAGCCTGGCGTCACCAGCTTCACTAGAGAAATAATTTAGTTAAGCAGGGATCTGTACTGAGAGCGACCTCGGAGGGAGCGGCCCTTGATTTATGGTAAGCGTATGTGATTCCTAGCAGGAAGCACGCATCTGTTTGTCCTGTCCTCAGTGCGCAAGTTCCTCCACCTAGTGTCACCTGTCGGTGCTAGCCTCTGGTTTGCTTTTAGCCCCCATTTCCCCCACTTTGTCCTTTGCATCTACCTTATGCTTTGCAGATTGGCAGGTGGCTCGAATGATGTGAACAGTTTCGATGTTGTGGGTGCTGCCAAGGGGCTCGTGCTAGGCTTCCAAATTTGCTTTCAACAAAGCAAAACTTAAGCCTCAAATGCCCAGAATCTGCATCTCACGAACCAAAGATAGATTTTCTTTTATTTTCTATTCTTTTTTGGTAGTATTTCGAGCAGTGTGCAATATCTTTTTTAAAGCTATTTCCCATGAGTCCGCAAAGTCCGGCTAAAGATGACCTTGTGTATTGCGTGTGCATTCTCCAACATGTCCTGGAGATGCACCAACATGTTTAGTTCTCATCTAAGATACAGAATCTGGTCTTGGAGTTAGGAGGCAAATGCCAGAGCCGTGCTGAGCAAGTAGAGTGACAATTTTACCAGAACATCCCCGTAATAAACAATGCAGTAGTTTTATCCTGAGTTTCCCTCTGTCGTTGCATGATCATAAAACGTTTAATTCGAAGTTCTTTGCAGTACCTGGTATGAAACACAAGCCCAGTAATATTATTCTCCATTTATGCGGCATAGCCGAGAGATATCATAGTAAACAGAGCTCATATACGTTCTGAAATGAAGACCCACTGCAGGCCTGGAACTACGTGCAGCTAGCATTATCATTCAGTGTTTAAGCAGATCGGGTCTAAAACGTTTAAAAAACTAAAGTTAACTCCACAAAAAGTAGAGTATGTGACAAGCAGAGTTGAATAGAAACTGCTCTGTTGAAAACGAACGATTTAGAGTTCACCAGGAATCACCACCGCAATTCCAATTAAAAAAGATCACAATGTTCCGACCCTCCGATCAGGATCCACGAGGATCACGGAGTATCCCCCTTCAGAGATTCCAAGGAATTGCAAAAGGTAAATAACACCGTACATCTACAAAATATCTGGTAGTAAATGCTGGGGTTGTAATGCTCAAAGGACTAGAAGACACCTAGTAGTTTTGGTTTTTATAACCTCAAAGGAACATGTGCGAAACAAACAACGGCAGTAGTACCTCCATGCCTCAGCTTCACTAAAAGCAACGACTATTAAATCTGCAAAACAACAGACATCTGCCTTCATTCCTACCTTTCTGATCAGATTACTGCCGGAATTGATTACAAGCATGCCACACTTCCGCAAGCATGGGGACTTTCCTCTTTCCAAATACATGGTAGATGAGAAAGCACTGATGAAAACCTGGAGCTAGATCTGCAAAATTCAGAGAAGAAATTTATTACCAATCTGCATACTTTCAGCGAAAGAGGAATATCCTAACATCTGCAGTTACCAAAAAAATCAGAGTAAAAGGAATTGATAATACAACAGACACCAATAGATAGGTTGGTAAAACTCGTTGGAAAGAACATTTTATGAATCTGCTTAAATAGCCAAATAATCGGCAAATCAGACATATATGAAAACCAGAAACGGAAATTGATAATCAGAATTTTCAGATCAAAAAATACAAGCCACGTCTGGTTGAAGACAAACTTGCAACAGTCACATACTCTCAATTCAGAACTCTTTCAGTAAGCAAGTTCAACCTGCATGCCATGATCGGTGAATCATGCTTCTTTACATTGTGATCAGATCTGGTTGCCTCGGCATAAAAATAAATCCCTGAAGCAGCATGAATATAGCGCTCCTCCGTATAATCGCCCAATCACAATTCATAATTGTTGTTCGTCCCTTCTGCCTTCTGTGTTGTCTAGAATCCGGTTTGATGAACGATAAGTAGGAAACATGCTACCACATGTGGTCCAACGCTCTGCTCCACAAATCTTTCCCTAGTTTTCCATCAAAATAATGTGATACACAGGTCGAATTGGGCCATAGGGAAATTCACTTGAACCAACAACACGATACAATACCTGTCTCTAGTCGAGACCTCTCATGTGAGCTCGGACTTCTAAGCTTAACCATGATATAGCTTCAGAGAGCGCTGCCCATCACAGGCAGTGTCATTCTACCTGAATTTAGCAAGAGAGAGAAATGGCAAGCACTCTGAAATCCGTAACAAGGCTGGCAATGGCGTGCTGGGTAACGCAAGTCCAAGCATCGGAAGAGCAGAATGCAAATCCGATTGCCTGGTGTTCAGAAAACCCGGAACCTCTAGAACTAACTGCTGGAGCACAGAGGCTACACGCTGTGGCTGAGGGATTCCATACCAACAGAGGAAACATGAGAACATTATACTGCAAACTCTTGTCCCTAGACCTGATGTTTTCTTCACACCATGTTCTGTTTGTGTTATCTGCTTCAATGGGAACTGCCAGGTATCAAGGTAAGAAAACAGCTCAGAAAAGTAAGGCTTCATTTCTGCATCCTGAGCCTCAGAGGATGAACGAAGAGGGCTGTTTAGAACATCATCCACCCTTTTTGCAAGTCCAGATAAGAAGGTGCGTTGGACAAGGGGCTTGCCCTCTGCGCTTTGATCTATGTTGTCACAATACGCCATTGCAACCTTTAAACTGTATATTGATAGAGAGTCGCTACAAATGCCGTTTGCACTAGTTCCCCTACCAGTGGCACGATCAATCAAGGCCTCAACCGAAGTATACAGTGCCAAGTATGTCTGCAGTAAAGCTGGACGATCAGTGCTCACAGATTCATATAAAGCTTGTAAACAGAAATTGTCGAAATCCCCACTAGATTTCTTGTTGTCAGCTCCGCTGCAGAAGAGTTGAGCGAAAGCCAACATGCTGGGATCAGCTGAGAATGTGCTCACTAGCTGATCTACTTCAGAAAGCTGACTTCTGCCAGCTGCTCGTGAACAATTGTCATCGCCACTTTTATGAATTGCTCGAGAGAGCAAAGATCGACAACCTATTGGATCGTCTGCATACGAGCGCGCCCCTACTTTACGCTTCACATACAAAATACCCCCATCAAAAGGACCTGATTCCCCTGGTTCCCACCATGGTTTGTCTACAGCCGGCAGCTCAGTATCCTGCGGCCAATACCGCGGACCACAAACTCGCACTCGCTTCAGAAGATACCGCTCTGGAAGAATACAAGGTGTCACCCGGCTAAAAGTAGTTTCACCATAGTGTGCCGTCTCCTTCAAGGTCATTTCGATGGGTACATAGACAGGCAGTCCAGTGTCCACATCAACAGTTTGCAAACAGCGCTTTTCTGTCGCCAGAACATACAAATGGCGGAATGCCTGTAAGTGACATCGATGGTCATTAGGCGCAGTTGGAAACCTGGGATATAATGCAATCAGTAGTGCAGCTACTGCACCGTTGTTAGTCGCAAATGTAAGACCACCTCCACCAAGAAAAAGGAAACCAATGGCCATGCTTATGGCCATCTGATTCCCGAATGTGATACCATCAGCATCTGTTCTTCGCCTCAAGAACCTCAAGAGCCTGAAAGTATCAAGGTGGCCTGTGCCAGCCATGACCAGGCTCAAAGAAAGCACGGCAACATTGAGACATGTCTCAAGGATATTACGGTCTACATATTGACGCCTATTATTAGGGCTTGCAGCAGCACCATGTGGAACTGCTGCACGCTTTTCATTCATAAAATAGAGAGCGTAATGTCGTAATGATTGCCGAGCTTCCGCACTGGATGTCCCTGCATATCTCAGTCCAATCGATAAACAAGCTCCAGCAAGAATGTTAACGTGTGCTTGCGCAAGAGCTTCAAGGTCTGCATCAGCGTTAAGGGGTAGCTCAGGAGAACCTTCCTTCGAAGAAACTAGAATTGCCTCCTTCACGATACCAGGTACCTGAGCCTGTATCCATTCCTCTGTTGGCTGCACACTGTCCCATAAAATCAGACTCCGCGCCACTAATCGTAACAATATGAAATCAGGTCGAACATACTCAAGAGAAAAATGGGTATCCGGAATGGCCAGTCGAGCTGCTACCACTTCACAATTGGTCTTCATAAACATGAGCCCCAGAGCAAGAGTTGCACCCGGAGCAGTGACATCCAAATTGACGGTTGACCCTTCCATAATTTGTGTTTGGTCGTCAAAAGCTCTCGACACTGAGTTGGTACTACTCACGGTCCCATCAAACCTTCTTTGCCGTTCATCAATAGTATCACTCCCACCAGAAATGTAGTATCTCAAGCGATCTTCGATGTGAAGATCAGCTAGACCCCAGGCATCCCTTCCTCGACCTAAAGTTACTAGTCCTAAAGCAAGACCTGCCGCAAGAGCATGCCCTTCCCTGTCCAACGCATTATCACCAACAGGCTTCCGCCCAATCTCCGCAAGAAGAATTTCCGTGGTTAGACGGTGTGCTGAGCCTTGGTACAGGAGACCGACGGCCAATAATGCTGCAGACTGCACGAGGCTTGGCAACTCCAGTTCTGGATAAGAAGGGGGATGACGAGCTGGAATGTGGAGATACAACATTTTGGAAATACCAGGGTCCATGGTACCCCGGTGAGCGGCAGACATACCCAGGAGTACACCTACAGTCGTTGCCTCATGCTCCTGAGAAAGGTAGCGATAAACATCGGTCGCAGCAAGCACACCAAGATGCTTAAGCAACCCCAGAGCCATCAGCAAGCCCGCGTGTGAAAAATTTGGCTCATCAGGTTTATTATAGACAATCCAGGTGCGAGAGATCTTTGTCTGACCTGGAGCAAGCCTAAGACCAGCAGCGACACCATTATGAAAATCCGGCCATGAAGTTACATCAGCAAGGTTGGCTGTGTTTGCATCCAAATTCACAGTAGCATCATTTTGCGAAGGAAGGCGTCCTGCTAGTATCAGTTTTGGTATGGGCAGAGCCTCTGTCAACATTGCACTAGATGTGCCTAGAGTGAAAGCTCCTCGTCCAAAAGGCAATGCGGTGGTTCGTTGAGCTAATTGCCATAGTTGTGCCTGCTGCAGAGCAACAATATCAGGGTCACTCACATCTGGTACATTATTTGTTCGCACCGCCACCGGCTTTGATGAACCCAGCAACCGCCGCACTTCATTCAAGCGAAGATCTCGACCAAAGCGCAGCGGTGCTGATGTGGTGGCCATGTGCTCCATACCATCAACCAACTGAGGATCTACTCCAGCTGTGGTCCCATTGGCATCTGCAGTATCATTTGGATCACTAAACCCAGGAAGACTGGAGATAGGTCGTAGATGTGAAGTGTAAGGGGCTGCCATCGAAAGATAGTCGGGCTGCTTGGTTACTGTCCCTGACTCATCCATTTTGAGATTCTCGCCGATTTTATGCGATGTCATATGTTTCAAAGGCCTTGCTACATGAGTGGAAGCTAAATCCTCACGGCCAATAAGAACATACGCTTGAGCTGGCCAGTTTCCTGGGGGAGCTTCACGACATCTATCCAAAGCATGACGCAATGGAAGGGAGACTCCAGGGGGAAGACGATCTAGCTCGGGTAATCCGAAGCCTTCAGCTACCATGGCAAGCACTGTGCGCTGCTCTCCAGTAGTAGCAATGCCTGATGAAATGCTAAGTTGCACACCTGATGGTAGGCGCCCGTTCACGACTTCCCCTCCAGTCAAAAGATCATAGAACCCAATCACTCTGCGGGACCAATCAACACAACTAGCCGTCTCCTTGGTGAGTAAACCAGGCAAACTCTCCGTATTCTCAGCTGGCCGATTGCCTTTCAAACATTTCTCAAGCCACTGAAACAGATTTGGAGGAACTTTTCCATTGTTTTTCAGGCTCACTGATTCTGGTAGGATCGGCAAAGGCAGAACAGCTAGGGGAAAGTCGCGTGAGTAGTGATCGACGTATCCCATTTCCCCGCTCGCTGCTGCCAGACTGCTTAGAGTTGCTCCCAACTGCCAAAGCTCTCGCCAGCGCAACGTATCGAGCTTGCAGTCTTCATAAACAGCGTGCAGAACTTCAAGAATTTCAACCATCACCGAATAGTAAACAGCTGTCTCTGTATCAGCGTTATCTGTAATAATGGGTCCAGGCAATGGGAGAGTCTCCAGAATGCTGAAGTTCTCCTCCGGCATCAGAGCTGGGTATCGCAAAGCTGCCAAATTGCTTTGATGCATACTACTCTGCAGTAAAAATTTCCATGAAGATGGATCGTCCTTTACCGGCTTGGGAGGGGCAAGGTCTTTAGGAGGAAGTACGTCACCAGGCATGTCTCTAATAATCTCCGTAATGAGGCCAGAAAAAGCTGCCCAATCCAGGTCGGGTTTTCCACTAGATTTAGCCGTTGTTACACGCAAAGCATCTACAATTGGGAATTCTCGCTCCAGCAATCGGGACAACAGGTATCGGTACAGAGCGGGACGAAGACCTTGGGATAAAGCATTCATGCACAGAACAGTTATAGCTGATGAAGGGGTCAAACTGACTGCACATCGGTACATTTTTCCAGATTCCGTCACCACATTGACACGACCTTGCACTGGATCACAGAGACCCACTATTTTCTGAGCTCCATCTCGCCCACTGCTCGTAGCATCCGACGGCATGGAGGTTGAAACAGAGCCCTTGCCTGGAGGTCTTACTTTGAGAGATTCCAATGCCGAGATGGGAAGGAAGTAGCGGCATATATGATACCGACCTATATGAAGAAATAAAGTACCATCAGGGGACAAGGTCAGAATATCATACGCAGCAGAACCCGTGCTTTTCAGCCTCGGGCGAGTGGCAACGATCGGGGCAGCCGATATAGCAGTGATATTCCATGAAACCTCCAGCTTTGATTTATCCTGTCCATCAGTGGATAGATCTGAACTATGAAGTCGAAGGGCAAGCAATTGCTGCGATTCCGCGATAACAAGGCACAACAATGGCACCCCATCTTCATCAGTTGCCATGAACACCTCTCGGGCCTGCTGCTGTCCGCCCTTTTTGGTCCAGGAACGCTGCAAACTAATACTCTCCATGATATCCCACGCAGGCGCACCTTTCAGAATGTTAGACTCGGACTCTGCAGGCGCAGCTTTCACTTCCCACACAGTATGTTGTCTCTTCGCTGTATGGTATGTCACAACATACGGAACTGCAGTACTACTCCAAATTATTTTCTCGTCCATATCAGACAACAACCTCGTCTTCGCCCCTTCTTCAACCCTAACCGGGTGCGGCATTTCAAGAGGATGCTGCAGATAGAAAAACGAAGATGTCGGCCTAACAGGCAGAGTAGATAAAAAACTAGACCGCCTCGCACTAGAGCTCCCCGCCGGCACAGGAGAGATCACATTATCCCGAAAACCTTCACGAAGCCAATCACGAGGATGGATCGGCGACTCCATGGCCATGGAAAACGTATCCGAGCTCAATCTCGGGGTCCTATCCGGCCCGCGTTGCAACAACAATCCACACGGAAGCGGCCAGATTGCAGAGACTCGGCAATGCAAGGGCACAATGTGCATTTCACCGGACGGCGTGTACGTGTTGATGAAATCCGAATGCAATACACAGAGCAACGGCTCCCGCGTATCGCTCATCCGACACCACTTCGCCTGCACGATAGTTGCATCGCAGCTGAATCGCTTGCGTACCTGATGCCCCGCGCTCCACACCACCGTGTTGTTCTGGATATAGAGCTCCTCATCGTGGTCCCAGAAAGTGACCCCGATCGCAGCCTGATCCAATCTCCCTCCCTTCCCGCACACCGCATCCGCATCAAAAATTGAATACTTCCCTCGGAGGTCTTCCTTGCCGCTGCTCCCAGCGCCATCGCTCCCGCTTGGCTCTGCGACCTCGTTTCCGTCCACAACCTCACGTCCATAAGGCTCGAACAACCCGAGCAGGCACAATGGCCTACGAGCTTTCGGCATTGTGGTGAATGATCCCACCGCATTCACAATCCAAGCTTCGTCGCCATAGCCATGGCTTGATTTGCTAAACCTCACGAGCTTCGAACCCTTCCGAATTAGGGATTGCCGCGACGTTCAGAATGTGGACGCCCCTTTCATACAGACATTGGGGCCATTCGAATTTTCTTTCCCGTTTCTTTACTGTTATTTATTCTTTTCAATTTTCTTTCCCTTATTTTTCTTTACACTCGTTGTTATCATGGTGCATTGGGGGACATTTGATTCTTGCTTAAGCCATTGTGTGTGGATTAGATCAATAACCACACATACATGCAATAATAATATAATATAACGATATTCAATAGAATATCATGCATAATAATATAGTAAATGGTGTTCAATACAGTAATTTTGAAGTCTTTCTGATAAAAAGTAAAAAAGTAAATTAATCAATGACTTCATAAGAATACAATAATTTTCTGTGGTTTTCAATTTTGTATTTTTATGCCTTTTTGTCATGTAAATAACATGCTATGTTGATAATTTTGAATACACTGTTAATTTTAATTTGATTGCTATTTAATTCAAAAACCCTGTAACATGTATTTCTATCAATACCAAAATTTTGAAGGTTAGAATATAAAGTTGTTTTCGATATGATTGATCTGGTAAAACTTTGTAAGAAAATATATCTTAATTCAAGCGTAACTCAATTTTGTTCTTAAAACCCAAGTTCTAAGAACCCAAGTTGAATAAGATATGCATTTTCGAGACAAGCATGCCATTTCTGAGACTTCATGCACAAAGAAGTGACTACTTTGTTCGGATTCTGAACATACTCAGATGTGAGCAAAACGATTCATCTTACAAACGCAAGAAGGATGCAGCTTTCGACGAGCAATGCCATAGAAGCAATGGAGTTCGCTGTAAGCATACTGGGAGAAAAGCCTCTAAGAACATCAAAATCTTAAGTGCAACGAATGTGGTTTATAGACAAACGGCCATGAGCAAAATATGCAACAGTTTCCTTGAATAAACTATTTCAGTGGCACCTGCAGCACTGCAGTATGGGTATTCGGTGAGGAGAATTCGGTACGAGGGTTCAATGAGCGCTTTTGCAGCAGTCGAGCATCCGACATTCAAACAATATCTGTTGCTATGAACGTTGGTTCGCGGAGCATGGCCGTTGGAGCAAGCTGGGCAAGAATGCAAAAGGTTCATCTAGATTGCAGCTACCTGATGAATCCTCGAATTCCCTACTTGGTCTCTCGCCGTCTTGTGTACCCAAATTGGAGACGCTGTGACACAATGACTCCAGAACCTTGTTGTATAAAAGCGGCTCTTCAGCTGCAATTCAGGCTCCCCAGTGACTAAAACTCTCCTGTTGCAGATCGTCATCTTGGCCATCGTCGACTTCAGAGTAGTCGCCTCCTAAGAAACTCGAATTTTCTTTTCTTTTTTTTAAAGAAACTCATTAGCGAGCCCGGCTACCTCACTTCCAAATACGCCATCCTTGCCGCGAAAGGTGACACTCCAACAGGACTCCGACTTGGGGTAGCAGAACTCATACGTGACCTTGGAGAGCAATCAGGATTGCTGTTGTAAGATCTGCCAGAAAAAACGTGTTCTTCAGTAGGCCTCTTAATTTCCACCTTGTCTACATCAGTTGACCCACAGGTCTCTTCACACTCGCTTTCTGTATTTTTGAAAAGCCTCCTCATCTCAGTAGCGCTACCATCCAAGCACGAACTCGATGACGCTGCAAGAGGTGACGAAGTTGATCTGTAAAATGGTTTTCTGGGTCTTGCTTCCTCGTCCTCGAACTTACTGTCACAAGACGACCGAGGAATCCCAGCTTGGCTTGATGGAGAATATCTGTCGACATCGTAAGCTAGAGAATGCATGCAATTGAAAGTAGTAGATGTTCTAGATCCACTGCTGGATCTGAACCTTTTAAAAAAGGTTGGATTCACACTAGGCTCCGAAGTATTGGACGTAGACAAATGTTGCTCACTGTACATGTGGGTTAGAGGTTCAGGTTCAGGACTGCTCATACGGTCGCCTTGGTCAGACGCTTGAGCTCTCTCAACAATAGCCTCAAGTTTTTGCACGCCGGACTCTGTATTCTCTGAGTGATAGCAGATTCCTGAAGTGTCCAGATTAGCCAAGGGCCAGTCTGTTGAAGAAACACCGAATGAAAAGCTACATGTGGCTTCCGAGTCTGGTCTAAAGCTGGCTTTGTGATGGATTTCCTCTGATGGTTCGTCCACACAATTCGACTGTCGTTTTGATCCCACAGTATTTTCGTAATTCATTGCAGTTTTTCGGAATGAGGTTCTCGAAGCTCCAACTGGGGCGCTTCTTCGTCCTCTAGAAGTAGAAACTTGTCCGTCAAAAGCTCCAAGCTGGAACTGATACGGCTTCTCGAGTGGCCTGGTGGGACTAGAGAGCCGTTTCTCTGCGTAACTGCTGTTAGGTGTAAGGTGTCGTAGAGCTGAGGCAGGGTTTTGGCGTTCCGAAATTAGTGGCGAGTTCCTTCTATTTACCGTATCTGGAAAATCACTGCGAAAGGCAAACTTCGTTAGCAAATAAGTGGATGTAGGAATGTATCCCCAATTAAAAGAAATAAAAAATAAAAAGCAGCTGAAAGTCACGAGGTTCTGAAATGAATTGGACATTGAAATACCTTGAATCCAAGTCTGGAGATTCGAATGCAGCAACACGCTTCTTAAACACGCTGTTCGAGGCAGGGGATCCTGATGTCTCCCTTACCGTTCTCCATATTTCCTGCTTGTTCTTCAAGCGAAGGATAATTCAATAGTTATTACAAACAAGAGCTCGGCTATAGCCTTCTTGCAACAGCCATGACAATTTTCAGTCAGAAAGAATGATCAACTAGCAATTAAAGGCGAGGAACGAAAAAGAGGGAATAAAGTAAACACCTGAACAGGCGGACTATGTGGTGATAGTAGTTGGAATGAAGACGAGAGTTGCTGCACAATCAAAGAAGTCTCTTGAACTATATCATCCTGCATCATCAAGTGGCGGTGCTGATTAGTAAAAAGTAATCCAACAACTAAAATAAAATACGTATAATACAATATCGCTTTTCCATACAGAAAAACCCGAACCAACTACAATACGACGTGCTAAGAAGGAAGGTGTTCTAAGCAGAAGATTATGAAGACCATCAACATACCTGTACAGCAAGTTTCTGCTCAATATTTAGTGTGGAGGCACCATCCTCAGTATCTTTAGCATTGTCTCTGGGAGTGGCCTTAGCCACAACAGACTTAAGTTCTGCAAGCTTGACTTGATGCTCAGCGAGCTCTTTCATATCCTTTTCTATATCTTTCGGCTTTGAAACTTGCTTGAACTTGTGGCTCAGTTCCTGTCTCTGCCACATTACCAAATTATAGACATTTTGATATTACACTAGTGGAGCAGTCATATTTAAAAGAAGTACAATAAAAAGAAAACACCGAAGGAGGATAAAGGGAAGAAAAACTATTGATGTAAAACATGAAATAGACAAAGAGAGGAAAATGGGAGTACAAAGAATTAAACAGCATTAATGACATCATAAAAGTTGAGTTCATAAGTCATGTACCTGTTCAGCTGACAAGTTCTCAAACAAACATGACAGGACTAGTGGCAGTTCTGCCCCCTCCCTTTCCCGAAGTCTAATCTGTGACAAGCTCCGGTTTGGTTGAGAATCTATCCAAACACTTTTCTGCAGGAATCGAAAACATAGTAAGGGTCAGACAGAAAACATAACCACACTGTGCAATGCTCTTCTATCATCTCGAGGATTCTAAGACAGAAATGAATATTATAATGCCAAGAATCATGGAGAGCAAGACGAATCATGCCACTACTGACCTGGAAATCCTCCAGTACTCTGTTTGCAACCTGTATCTTCTCCGATACCTGCACTCCGTTCAATAATAATTTTCATCCAATATCCAAGATTTGTGCAAAGGTTTATATTCATTGCATCTGACTTACGGAATCCAAATTCAAGTAGATCACCAAAACAGAAGAAAAAACAAACAAGATTGAGATATCTTACCACTTTCGATGTCACAGCTAGTGCAGCTGCGAGTTGGTCCACTTCTTGTTCAAATTTGAGAATTGCACTTTCATCAATTCTCTCACTATTTTCATGATCACTCAGTGTGACATCTTCGTCAGTAGTAGCTTCACATTGCTTCGTTGGATAATCAGGGACACAAAGTGATTCTTTTCTGGCACCACTCGATTCACTGCGTTGTTGGAGTCCGTTTCTGGTACGAATGGACCCGTTCAACCTTCTCAGCTTCCTGCAATTCTTCCCACATTTTTCGAGTCGAATGAGCTGATATGCGCAGTTCAATTCACGTTACCTCTACGCCCGCTAGTGCAAACCCTATTTCCATAATTTTCTGCTGCATTAAATATAACTGCAGTGACCGTCTATGTACATCTTAAAATAATTAGTCAAGCTTTCATGTGAACGAAGAGAAGTTTTCTTCTAAACAGCTCAGTATCAAGGCAATATACACATATAGAGAAACATACCCGGCCTGATGGGAGTTACCATCAACAAACCCCACACATGTCGACAACACTCCATCGTTGTTAGTAAGGAAGAGAGACTGATCAATATCTTGATTCAACTTCCGACCCGACTTCGTACTACAGGCATCTGTCCGTTTGCTGAGCGTGCTTCCTCTCGCCCGATCGTTCTCCCTGGTCTGTTATCATAAACAAAGCCATGAATATGCTGCAGATAATTTACCCTACACGTAGCTTGTACACCAACTGAAAATACAGTGTAGATAAGACAGCGGTAATCCTAACAATTTTTTATGCTTATGGATTTTGAGACAACTAGAGAATGTTCGGGCGAACACCGAACATTCACTTATTCTGGCATTATTAACCAAGCTCCTAATGGTAGATATTATAGAAGGATTGAGGATATAGTTTTAAATCTCGGACAGCAAGAGTAGGAGAGAATCGGGAAAAATCCTGAGGCAGAGGGAGAATATGTACTTCTGTCACAAGCTTGTGCTGAAGTTCTTGAAGAAAACTGGCTAATTTCAGGTTTTCTTGTTCCTTCGCTTCTAGCAAACGTTGCTTTTCCAGTACTTCACTCTTGACCTCCTCCAGCTCAGTCACTAAAGTTGACACTTTCTTAGAGAGTATCTCGCACTGCTGTGACTTAGCTTGCGCCAAACTATCGTTCGCCTCCTTTTCGTTTTGCAGACGCTCCAGCTCTTCATTTAGCTTCCCAGCTTCATAAATAATCCCTTCAACATCCTTCTGCACAGATCGTATGACCATCGTGTTCGGAAACATCCTATAATCACAGAATTTCAAAAAGAAAAGGCAGGTGACTAAAGAGGATTACATCTCTCCGGAGATTTCTGAAAACATAGTGGAAATGTTTCTTACATGATGCAAACATTTTCTTTTAATATCACCAATCACAACATCAGCACGTTCTTCACTCAAGACCGAAACTGGCTGATCACGCTGTGCAATCAATTCTCGGTGCAATCTCTGAACTTCCAGGTTGGCTCCATATAGCTTGGTGCTAATCGTCTCCATGCACTGTTGGAGTTCAACATAATGATTGCGATGCATGGAAATCATCTGGTCCTGTTCAGCAGGTTGAGTCTGCAAAGAAAGCATAACAGACACTTGAGTAAGCACACGTATAATATGCGCACCAAACGCGCAAAAGTCTTACCAACATAAGATTTAAAAATGGGGGTTCAGTATCTAAGAAAACAACATTACATTGGTAAAGAGTAAAAAGGAACAAAAAAGCTCGAAAAGTGATCTAAAAGATGATGAAAGAAAGACAAACCTGCATGTCATAGATCATTGCATCCCTACTTCTAATGTGCTGGCGCAGCCTGTGAACCATCTCACGTCTGACTGTATGACTTACTCGTAATGCTGTTGAATTGTGGGGATCGGATTGGACTAAGTCTTCGTTAGACTGACAAACTGAATTCTGGCTCAGCTGCCGGCAAAACTTGGAGACTTGTGGAGAAGGATCGTTTGGTGCAGGACGCTTTGTTTTGTAACTAACAACCTCAAACTCAGATTGAGATGCCACCACGGACTCTGACTTGTCCCAGAATGCTGTCCCATTGTGAACAGTCTCGTACATGTGCGCTAAACCAGTTTCATCTGCATGAATAGACTTTTGATAGTGAACACATAAGGGTAACATCTTTCTCCTAGGTCAAAAGAGATATTTCAAGCAGAATATAAGAGACACTAAGCAAACTGCCACACTCAAAGATGCAGGCGCTTCGTGGCTTCGAAAGCAGAGTACATTGGATAACAGATTCTCTTTAATCAGAGTCAACAAGTTTCCCTCAATTTATTAGCGATGACAGCCTGATGAGCTTTCAGTCAGGGGACCTTATAATTCAGCAAGAGAAAAAGCTTAGGGCACAAGATGATGTCAACTGGGTTCAGTTAAACTTGGTCCACCGATCACCAGGTGCGTGAATGTTCTAGTAAATTGAAAAAGAAGCTTGAGCGCGGCGTGAGAAGCCTATACCAAGATCCTGATAATGCGGCGATGATGCTTGAGCCTTGGCACTAGTATTAGAAGCCCTCTCCTTAGCCTTCTCGCTTTCTTTCAATATCTTTCTCCGTCCGAATGAGACGCTTACTGCCATCACAATAGCACCTCCAGCGATCATGAGCCAGTTAGGGCCATCCTTTTTCTTTACCATCCTAAGGCTTCTGCCCCCATGGGCTTGCTCGTAATCACTCATCGCGAGTCCCAGTACCGAAAATCACTTCTTAGTGCAAGAAAAATTTGCTGTCCACGCAATTGTGCGAGGGGAATCATATGTAGTGCTGAAATATTCGTCTCCGTGAATTAAATGAAAGAGCCATTTCATCATAAGAAACCATCACGCTTTACTCGTCAAACTGTAACCACCCGTAAGGGCTATATTTGAAGACATCTCAGTGGTCGAGAAAGATGTCGGTCTCGAAACCGGTCGTCGCAAGAGAGTGCTCAAGAGATGCAGGAGACTGCGATTACCAGGCTTGAGCAATTGACCCGAGAGAATAAGCATGGCAACAGAAACGGGAAGACATACCAAAAATCTTGCCCACATCCGCAACAGCAAGGAATTTTGAAGAGCAACTGATCGGACGTCAAGATCTTAAGAAATTGCAAGCAGTGCCGCCTCCACCAATCTTGTTCACACAATTCTTACATCGCCCTCAACGCTTGACTGATTCTACGCCCCTATCACTAGCTCTTCCCAGAGAAAATGGTCTTCCATAAGTGATCTCAAGCATAACCGACAAGACCTCCGCCTGCTACCCGTCACGAAAAACCGAAGGAGCTAAACAGAAATTTTTGTAGGAAATCGAGAACTGAAACCGCGCAAGACATGAAAACCAGATCACAGAAGGATTTTTGAGGTAACAAGCGACCGGTTCCCTCACAAGAAGCTCCGAATTTATAAAAAATTTGAAAGCTTCAGCAACCCTAAGAGTCGCTTCTCGAGAGATCATCAAGCGATACACATGAACGCCAAATCAGAACGCCAAATCAGAACGCCAATCCGATTCGGCTCAGCAGCGGCATCAATCACTACGCAGTACGACAATTCGACGAGCTCATAACCATCTCCCACACGATACTCGCGACAACTTGGCAACTTCGGAAAGAACCAGGAAAAGCAGATCTAGCGCGTGACAACCATCACTCAAATCTACTCTGCAGCGAAGTATGCGGCTGCACAGTGTAACACGCTCGGCGAGGGAACTGGGATCACTCAAGTCTCACTCTCTTTCTGGTCCAGGCTTGTTCATGCGGACACATTCTTAGACATCCAACTCCCCAGAGCAGCACATGGCAGGACATGAACATAAAACCTGGATGCGGATTTCCAAATTCTACCAGTTTCAGTGCCCAACGTTCGAGACTAGTCCCGCATGGGCAATGGAGGAGGTTGAGTATCTTTAGTTCCTTGGACATGGCATGGGTATTATAAGACCGATTATTTAAGTCACCATGTGAGCATCACAATAATTTCGGTATTAAAATTGACGGGAAAATGTTGAAGGTGAAAGGTAGATTAGGAGTGTTGCAAACTGCTGTGATTGCTCTCGAAACCTGCCAAGACTAACACTGGACGTGGTCTTGCAGATAACGAGCGCACGGATTCCAAGTTTCTGGCACTAAGTTTAGGGAAAGGCGTGATACTTCAGTTTTGGCATGATTTTGGGTGGTGCTCTCTGATTTATAGCTTGCGGCGTTATCTCAGTAATTTCTGAACGATCGGCGGTGTCAGTAAATTGTTTTTTGTAGCTTTCATCACGCTTCAGCTTTTCTGACAACCTTTGGAATAATTGGAAGCTCATCATCTGCAGCTTCTTCCTGTCAGTGGAGATACTGATTTGCAGAAACATTCCCTTGAAAATGCTGCGACAGAATGTGAACATCCAAGGTAGAGCACAGTACTCACAAGAAGTAGATAGAAAACTGAACGAGAACGGAGCTGAATGAACTTAAGTTACAAACGATGGCAAGTGGCACAGACATTAACCGCTCGGGCCCCACCTGCAAGCGGCAGGCTGCTACATCTTAATATACATGCAAGGGTCTATCTCTAAAACTGCAGACAAGTGGATGAAATATTTCATTTTCTTCGCTAAAAATCCAAAGGTCCAGCCTGTGTTCATGCTGTGCCAGGTTAGCGAGTGTCCTGGTGAGAACACTCGCAAGACTGGGTCCCCGGAAGACATTGAGGACATCTTACGTAGTCGTACGCTACGCTGTCTAAACAGAAGTGCGATACAATGTATTAACTGGCGACAACAACTGATCTTGACTTGCGAGCGTTCTCACCAGGCTACCAACCGTAAACAATCCTTCGGGGAGGTGGAGTTGGAAGGTTTAAGTCTTTGCGGTACTCTTCATCAATATACATAGTTCCTGGCAAAGCTCCAGCTGCTCTTCTCGCTACCTCAATGCCTGAGAGAAAATAGTGAGCGAATGCAAGTCCTCTGTCAAGCATATTACTCAGCGCCCTCTTGGGCAACGCCAGTGACAGAGCCATGGTCCGCCGTTTTGCAGCATCAATGGGTAGCCGCCGCAGCTTTCCCTTTCCCTTGCCCATTATTGCCCTTCGCGGTGGTAATCTCTTGATCTCTGCAGAATCGATAAACCGATCCGTGGCAGCCTCCCACGAGAGAAGGTGCTGAAGTTCTGGCGTCAGAGGTAGTGGCTCAGATGTGAGTGCCAATTTCACCTTCTCGACAAACTCTTCAGGAGTACGGTAAATATAGCAATTTGGGAAGGACATGAAAAACTCATTAGAAGGATGATCTGCGCAGACAACGATCTTGCCCATGGCCAGCGCCTCAGCGGTTGTTGTGCACACCACATCGCTTATGCTTGGGTTGATGAAAACTTTATAGCTGCAATAAAAGGAGTTCGAGATGAAACATCCAGAAATTACATCAGCAACAGTCCCCTCTAATTCAAACAAATCTTACAATCAAAGTAACATCGAAATGTGCCAGTCTGCATCGGTGAGGTTTAAAACTAACAGCTCCAAAAACTAAAATAATACATCCAGTCTTACCCATGGAGGGAGGCATCAGCATGATCTCTCCCTGGATGAAAATCCAAGGCCAATCCGTGTTTTTGAGCCTCATCTTTAACTGCATCTGAATCTTCCCCACTTCCAAATATGTCCATATTGATGTTGCCGAGGACTTCTTTATTCTGCGCTAAGAGATCCATCAGTTCTCTGTATCCTTTTCCCCATACCATTTTGCCTAGGTAGTAAGCTCCTTTCGAGAATTTGGGTTTGTCCCCTTCAACCTCTGCAATCGCCCGTCCAATACTCAGGAATTGAGGGTTTACTCCATGCACGTTGCAGACAGATGATCGCGGTAAATTCTGGGTTGCAGCTGACAAACGTAATACCTGGTGAAGACAGGTCATTGAGAGTTCAGGGATCAGGACGAACAATCAAATTAATGTGAAAGCAAATTTAAAGAAAATATATACAGGTGATCTCTAGTATTACGCATCAAGAGGAGGATATGTTGAAAAGATAGAAAATAATTAAAGACATTGATAAAAACACGGACCTTATCGCAGTATATTCGAACCACCCAATTGTTCACGTGCTTTAAAAGAAAAGCCTGAACTCTCCCATTCTTCTCCCGCTTAACATATTCCAAGTAATTTGTGTGAACCACACCAACAACATGCTGGAACTTATCAGTCCAACGTCTTCCATGGTAATACCAGTTCAAGTGCTCTGGCTCTTCGAGCACGGCTACGTCAGCTTCCTGGTCAGGAATGAATTGAGAGATATCCCCAGCTGCAAGGATACTACGTTTTTCTAAAGAGAACTGCACATCCAACCGAATAAAATAATGTTGAGAATAGCCACAACATTGTAGCCTGGATATCTTCACACTCCAACCATTCTAATCACAAGCGCTCTTAGTCACATCGTGATGGAAGCTCAACAGCAGCACGTAGCACATAAAGACAGGACAGGCATCTATACCCAACAAGAAAGAGAGGGAGAGCGACAGGGAGAGAGGGAGCATAAATCACACTTTGCCAGGATAAAATGATATCTTGAAGTCACACTTGAAACCAACTCGGTCTTCCACCCACTTTCGCACGAAGCTTTCCTGCTCGGCAGGGGATTCAAAGGTCATTTGATTTGGATACACTAGCACTTGATCTTTCTTGGACAACCAAGGCACCAATAAAGTCACTTTCTGCTCCCCAGATCGTGCTAAGTAAGCTGCTCTAAACAGAGGATTCACAGCTGTCCCTGTCATCCAGGGCAAGCTTGCGGTTGTAACAATGGCAATATTACGGTGCATATCCTCGGTGGTTTGCTTAAATGCATGATTCTCTGTCCAAAGCCCTCCCTTGTGCTTGTAACCCGTGCTTTGAATTACGCTGGCAATTCTTAAATCAAGCTCATCTTCTATTAAGGGTTCCTTTCTCATGTGAGGAAGACCACGTTTTCCAACTGCAGCACCGTCAGGAGCTGTAGGTCTCCTCAACATCTCACGAAACTTCTCAGTAACCTCTGTATGTGCACAGACATATTTCAATTCATGGCCTGCAACGCAGCCCGAAAAACAAAGACCTGCGTACCGAAAAATAAAAAGAAGAAACGAAGGACAAGAGATTGTCTAAGCGAGTATTTTGAAAACTTCACCTCTTTTGATACCAAAGTGATCCAATAAGGGCTCAGACTGCCGCATCAAAGATTCGAGCAACTCTGGAACAGTCAGCGGCGCCACATCTGTCCCATGACTGTCAGTATTTGTACCGACGTCGGAAGCCTTAGCGAGTTTCTACAAGAAAATGTTATAAATGATTGAGAAGAGGAGACAACGAGAGTTCGCAACCTATTCCTTCAATTTATCTGGCGGCCAATTTATCAAATGGGATTACAAACACGAAAAACCTCTAATCTTCTCATCACTTCAAAAGATGACTGCTATGTTAGGCTGGACACTGCTGCTAGCATCAAGAAAGAAAGAATGCGATTACAATCCGGTACAAACATCGAACATAAATCAAGCATTTGCACCAGGAACGTAAACTCACGAGATTCTTCTTAACATTTTCAAAGAACTCCGTCTTTTGGACATTCTCGAAAAACTCTCCGGGCGTCTTGCTGGTCGCTGCCGTAGTCTCCAAGTCTCGCAAACTCTCCTCCACTGATTGCTTTACCTTCTTCAGAGGCTCTTCCCACTTCTCTGAAACCCTAATCTTTCTCCTCGCTCCTTGCGGTTTTTTCACGACACGTCTCTCATCATCTTGCTTGGTAACACCCCTCTCGCGATTCTTCCCCAACCCTAGAGCCTTGTCCATCTGTGGCACGAGCCAGAGCTCGTTCTTGCGTTCCTGCATGGACGAGTCCGACCACGACCGGCCTATCTTAGGCTTCAAACTCTTGAGGATATCAAAATCGTCCACACTGAGATTGAGAGGATTCCGGAAGTCATCACCCTTCACAGAAAAATTTGGCAGAGGAGAATTCTTCCAGTTTCTGACGTTCAAGGTTTTAGAACTCTCTCGAAACGATTCGACACTTGACTGAATCAGTTTCATGTCCACTCCCGTACTCTTTTGCACCTCCATAAGCGATTTCGAAATGAAGGATAGCACTCTATCGCTGCCAGGATCTAATCCTTCAGAAGGCGCCATGTCCGGTCCCGTGTCTGCAACAATTCAAGCCTCCTTCAATATTCGGCAAACTTCTACAACACTAGCAGGTACCTCACACTTCCAAATGTGGCTGCAACAACGCTTAAATTGCGACGATTGACAATGCAGTCAAGACAGCGAATTCAAATCTAAATCCACGCCATTCATACTCACCGATGCATCTACAATCGAGATCCTACAACTTCTCAGCAGAGGGCTAGATCGAAACTCTTTGAGCGGATCTACACCGCCAGTTAGACTGTGCGTGCAAAGGCTGCAGTAGCGCAGCTTGGTGACAAGTGCGACAAACCAGATTGGCGGACCACCGTCAGTGGCCATGGCATTCGACAACTATTATAAGTAAATTATACGGTGACGACGAAATGAGAATATTTCGTATCGAATGTGCTTCCCATGCTCTCAGTGGCCACTACCATGTTGAAAAACACCTACCCTATCGACGGCGGAAGTTGTTCATCGAGGATCCAGCTGTTGTACTTTCAGCAGACTTGTGGTCCAGTTTAGCGGGGTCGGTGTGATCCGTGGGCTGTGGTTCGTAAGGCACTTGACCCCTGGGGTCTGTGGTGTTTCCACTGTTTACGGCTGCTAACAACCAGCAATTGCATGGTGTACATAGAACTTCATGGTCTATCATCATCAACAGTTAAGCCTGTAGGCCACTAGATTCAACGTTCCACTCTTCGAGACTGCGTTAATGAATGGTGAAGACTTGAGTGTGCTGTATCGAATTGGTAAAGATTGACGTTACAGAGATTTACAGAGATGCTGGGTATGTGTGCACTGTGGCTTGATATCAAAGAGAGCACTGTTTCGAAATCCGGACAAAGCGTCCTTCCACCTAATCAGAGACATAATACGAATATGAGCTTCTAGTGCATCCAAGAATCAACTCAAACTCATGAAAACCCGCCAAGGTCACAGTGATGGCTAATGAAACTTCTCTTCACGCTGTAGATAATGAATAACTCAAAGGGAAAAATACAAGCTAATGGGAGCTACCGTCACAAACCAAAAGATTTGTGACAAGTTCACTATCGATATTTAGAGACTTTGCAGCCCTAAAATCCTGCCTCAGAGAATGACAGTTGCACAGATCTGATTCTCCGCAGAGCTGAGAGGGAGCGGGATAGGAGCGCCCTTGCGCCATACGAGGTCCTCCGTCTCGCCTTCAACGGTACAAATATCAACGTCGTGTAAGTACGAAATCTCTGAAGAGCTTAATCTGGGCCTGATTACACCTCCGACGACATATAAATCTGGTCCGAGACCCGCAACGGCGAAACACTTCCTATTCAAGCACTCAGGCCAGGAGCATAACGGCGAGGATCGGTGGGGTTGGGAGTGGTGCTCTCTGCTTACAACTCCATGTCGCACTACGTAGGGCTCTCCTTTCACCACCGCCATCGCGCCTCCTGCCCAATTGCATTCTTCCACTATCCAACTGCAATGCAAAAAATCTAAATGAATATTCTCAATGCGAATTGACAAACGGCAGAAGCAGCAAGAGATCGTCAAGGTATATGACAGAGATAGACACCTTTGATTTGCAGATTCATACACCTGAGACAACTTCTCCGACTTATGAAACACGTGCATCTTGCCATCCAGGACGATGCCGAATGTCACTGGAGATGGCCCTTCGTTAAGGCGAGGGAAATTTTGCCATTTATTCAGCTCAACATTGTAAACCTCTGCGTCAAAGACTGGCTTCTCTCTGGAATTCCACCCACCCACCACAACAATCTTACCCTCATAAGACATGCATGCGAAGTGCAAGCGCGGCGTAGGCATAGGAGCTATAGCGCTCCATTTCCAGAGAATTGGATCGAACACCCAGCCATCCAAGCTTGGACTCAAAGGCTCTCTTTCGCCAGTACAAGGATCCACATAGTCGCTTGTTCCACCAATCACGTAGAGCTTGCCGTTACATCCGACTGCGCCATATCCTTCAAGGTTTATAATTGACGTTGGGAGGACGGGGAGGAGGCTCCATTTGTTAGCGAGAGGGTCATAGGCTTCCCAAACTTTCTTTGGTGTGTGGCCACAGACGAAGAGCCATTCCTCCTGCGTGCAAAGCGCCTTGCGGAAGTGAACAAGTTCCGAAGATCGAACAGCCGCGTGCCAAGATTTGCAAACGAGCTGCAACGATCGATATTGCGAGAGTGGAAGGCGAGCTAAGCATTGGAGCGTTACCATGTCCGGTAGACCCTCTATAAGGCCAGACATCGCTGCTTAACCCTAATTCGGAGCTGTCAACACCCTCGCTTCTGTTGACACCAAATTCTCCAATAACAGAAAAATAATTTCGACCGACACTACTCCCTGCCTGCAAAAACAAAACAAAATCTAGCACGAACGCCGAGAAATCACAGAAGCTTATGTGGCAATAAGTTTCTAAGCTTTGCCTTACGAACAACTTATTTCAGAGAGATCGGAAAATCCTGAGACGAGCTCGGCGGTTACGAAATAAGTTCCACAGAGTACTAGAGGAGTCGACTAGCAGTGGTAGACCCAAGTCACTGCGTGTCGCAGAAACCTCACTATTCAATTTACATATTGCATAATACAAGAGAGAGTATTATGAGGAGGGGAGTAGTGCCCTCCTCACAGTGAATGGTGGTGATAACCACGGAAAAGGGAGAAATAAGCAAGGAAAAGTGGGATGGTGATTGTCACCACCAACACATGATTTTAAGTGAAAAGGAATGGAAATAATAATAAAAAAAAATTGGGAATGGATGATGACCATTTTCTACCACCAAGGAGAAATTTGTGGTGAAAAATGGGTGAAAAAAATTATTAATAAGCATGAATGATGACTATTTTTTACCACCAAGGGGAAATTAATGATGAAAATGGATGGGAAAAAATACTAATATTTTTGTTTGGGGACCATTTTTTACCACTAAGGGAAATCAGTGATGAAAAATGGATAAAAAATGAATAAAAAATGTTTACTATTGGGACAACTTAGAGATGGGACCCATCATCATCTCAGTTGCAATTTTAAATATTTGCAATGACCAATGGGGGAATTTAGTCGTGGAGATTGCTATCAATAAGTTAAATATTTTATTAAAACAAAATGAATCTATATAATATTTATACCAAAATAATAGTTTGAAGATAAATTTTATGATCTTGTAAATATATTATGTGTAAATTAAATATTTGTTTCAAAAATAAAATTAACTAAAATGTAGCCAATCTATATTTTATTTCTTGTACGAAGAAAGTAATCAATAATGAATCTTTGTTTATAAATTGATTGAGTTTGAAAAATATTAATGAATTAATTTTTGAATTGCGAAAATTCTTACTGGAAACAAAAGTATCATGAACATTTATGAGTGATGTTGTGATTAGCAACAAAAAAATATTGTTTGAAGCAAGAGTACGGTTGAAAATTGGAATTGAGAGGCAGTGCCTGAACAAACTTCAGCACACATGTGAATGTGGATCAATGTGGGTCCAATGAGGGGGTGGAATATGGATCAGCGCGGGCCCAATCAGGAACGGGTTCTGAGTTTCCAACCTGCCCGCCCCCTGGTTCCCTTCCGTTCCCTCCCTCCGTTCCCAGAAATCCGATCAGCGGTCGAGATTTAATCTGAGCGGAACCTAATTTTTTTTTCGAGCTTCTTATGGTGATAATCCAGTTTTCTCATGACGGATTCGATATCAAAAAGAATTATTTCAGAAATAGATTATCGCAACATTAATGCTCAAACTTAGCACAATCTTCATTATCCAAAGGCTTGTGCAGATTACGCAAGGTCATGTCAAGGTCGTGGTAAGGCTCATTCGCGAGAGGCAGCAAGATGTAAAGCATGACACAGGGTTCATATATCAAGTTTCTCTCAAGGGTAACTTGGTCCACTCTTAATTTTAACACCTAAAGAATCAGGCTTCGAAGCTCTTTGTGAAATCACTGCATTCGTCAACAAATATCACCCAAACCTAGTAATACAAAAATAATTCTATTCATTAACCTTTCAAAACAGCATGATCGCCGAGGTCCTGCCCTTCCATACCTTCCCTCACCCAACGATCAAAGAAAACCTTCGAAGTATCAATACCATGACTCGACGTGGCATTGGTATTGTGGTTCTTCGTCACCAGATCCATCACAAGTATACTCTTGGCAGCATAGCATCGTCCAATATTTTCAAACTCTGCCGCAGCTTCAAGGTTCGGAAAAATCTCAACAAGGTTATTGAATACCCCAATGACAAAGTCCATGATGCCAATTGACACTTCGATGTAATTAGGTTTTTTTTAATCAATAATCTTGAACAAAATCTCTCCATGCTCGGCAGGGGTTAAGGCTTTCCCAGGTCCACCGACAAGCGGTATCTGGTTGGCTTTCTCGACGTCGGTGACGCATTTGGAGATGACTGAAGCAAGATCTGCTTCAAAGATAGGTTTACAAGCGCACAGTTTACCATCGCCGAACTTGACGTAAGGTCCTCTACCTTGAGCACTCTGCACTTGTGAATCAGAGACATAGGGGAAGAGCAAGGTAGCGCCTGGAAAATCCGGAATGGTTTGTTCACCGTCGGCTTTACGTTCAATACCACTCTTCTTTCAAGCCATTGCGATCGTGTTGTAACCATGCTACAACTTCTGTTTCACCGTACACTTGCCAATTTAGCCCGTGGCACCCACTGTCATGATGTTGATATCCATGTGGCTCTTGTTCCGTCGAGTCTGCTTGGAAATGGCATCCTTTATTTCGGAAATCAGTGCAGCTCGACATAACTGACGAAGTGATGGTATCTTTGACTCTTGCGAGAGCTTCAAGTATAGATACAAAAATCCTTGAAACTCGGAAGAGACTCAAAACGATTTCTGTATATGGTGCAAACCTACAAAACCTAGTTGAACTAACTTGAGAGATTCATGGCTGCATGGAGACAAGTATACAGTCCAGGAAAGATAAGACGAGGCTGCTCTTGCAGAAACTAATGAAAGTGACATTATCGAACTACAAATTCACAATGCTAGCAGATGAAAAGAGGAAGATACAAAGACAATGAAAATCTGTAAGCACTCAAGAAAACGGATATCTCGCTCTGAAGAAGGAGGGACAATAAATAAATAAATAAAAGCAGTAAATACAATAAAATCTTACTGAAATGAACACCTTAAAGATGACCAGGTTCTGGAAAATCCAGGAAGACTAAACAATGTAGATAAAAATCTCTCCCTGCAACTGAGATTTGATTGTTCGCAGTCGCCGAAGCTCCAGAATATTTTTACTGTAGAAAAGCAGAGTGTGCAGTCTGTGTGTGGATAGTGCTCCCCGTCAATGGTTTCGGATGAACGTAGCGTAGAGGAGGCCTGTATCCATGTGAAACTTGTTGAGCTGAGGTGTACAGGACGACGGTTCCGCCTGAAATAGCCAGCATTCCCTTCGGAGGTTTATCCATTAGGCTGATGAGCTTCCGAGAGAAGTATCTCCTCCGGCCTCAAACATTTAAGAGTAGAATTTAGACACAGCTGAAGGGTTTAGGGTTTTTTTGTTCTGAGATTGTTGAAGATATTGCAATGGCGCTCGCAGCTAGCGGAGTTGCGACGGGGAGTTTGTACTGTAATGCAGAGACGAGCAACTCGTCGATATGTAGGGCGTCGGTTGTGTCTAGTCGGTTCGGCAAATTTTTTAATTCTCCCCTTAGACCTTCTTCGTGTCAATACTTTTCGAGTAATTTAAGTCTTTCGACATCAGAAAAACGTCGTAATGCTGTATCAGCAGTGCCGATTCTAGCTAATTTTGTCGAAGACGATGAGGCGGAGGAGGAGGAGGAAGAGGAGCTTCCGGGTGAGGTTTATGAGAAGGTAGCGAAGGATGTCGCTGAAGAGTATACCCGTGATTTGTACGAGCAGATGCGGAGAGAGGACGCAGGCCTCAAAGGGATGGCCAAGAGATCACAGAAGCGCTTAGCGAAGGAGGAATTCTCTTCTGAGCTCAGAATTCCAGATGCATTGTTACCTAAAATTGCAATTGTGGGACGTCCGAATGTGGGGAAATCCGCGTTGTTCAATAGAATTGCAGGCGGGGATATTGCAATTGTGCACGATGAGGCTGGTGTGACAAGAGATAGATTGTACACTCGCGCATTCTGGAGCACGCATGAGTTCATGTTGGTGGACACTGGGGGTGTATTGACGATTCCAGGGGATGGAAGCGATGCCGTGGCGGTGACAGCGCCTGGAGGCGAGGAGGCCGTAGCGAAAGCCATTAAGGAAGCCTATGATGCAGGATTGCCCGCAATGATCGAGAAACAAGCAGGGGCTGCGGTCTCCAGTGCAGATTCCATAATCTTTGTCGTTGATGGTCAGGCAGGGTTAACAGCTGCAGACATTGACATCGCCAATTGGCTGCGGAAGAAGCACTCGAATAAGAAAATCACTCTCGCTGTGAACAAATGCGAGTCGCCAACGAAGGGGCAGCTTCAAGTAGCCGAGTTTTGGACACTAGGGTTCACACCAGTTCCTGTGTCTGCCATCTCAGGAACCGGAACCGGCAACTTACTCGACCTTGTTTGCGAAGGCCTCAAACCAGCAGAAGGAGAGCTCGAAGAGGAAGAGGATAAGCCCATGGCAATCGCCATTGTCGGAAAACCTAACGTCGGCAAATCCAGCATACTGAATGCGCTTGTAGGGGAGGAGCGCACCATAGTCAGCCCCGTGAGTGGCACCACCAGAGACGCCATCGACACGGAATTCGCAGACGATAATGGGCAAACTCTGAAGCTCATCGACACGGCTGGAATTCGACGACGAGGCGCGGTAGCATCAGCTGGAAGCAGAGCAGAATCCTTATCCGTCAACCGTGCATTTCGAGCCATTCGGCGATCAGATGTGGTGGCCCTCGTGATTGATGCTTTAGACTGCGTAACAGAACAAGATTTTAGGTTAGGGGAGAGGATAGCGAGAGAAGGGAAGGCGTGCATTATCGTAGTTAATAAATGGGACACTATTCCGAACAAGGATGCCATGAGCACTGTGTGGTATGATAAAGACGTGCGAGAACGCTTACGGTGTCTGGATTGGGCCCCTACTGTCTACTGCTCCGCAAGCAGTGGCCAGAGAATCAAGAAGATTCTGGAAATGGCTGTTGCTGCAGGGGAGGAGAGGCAACGGCGTCTGACCACAGCAACATTGAACCAGGTGATACGAGATGCGGTTGCGTTGAAGCAACCACCCACAGGGCGAGGAGGGAAGAAAGGAAGAATATATTATTGTACCCAAGCTGGTGTGAAGCCCCCAACATTTGTGTTTTTTGTGAATGATGCAAACTTGTTCCCTGAGATTTATCGGCGGTATATGGAGAAGCAGCTGAGGCTTAATGTGGGATTCCCGGGCACTCCTGTGAGATTGTTGTGGCGCAGCAAGCAGAAGACTGATCGGAAGGAGGCTCCCAACCGAGATGCATCTTCGTCTCGCTCATCGTCATCTGCAGCTGGTAAAGAAACATCTTCCTCCGCAAATATGGTGCCCTTTTCTCAATAAAGTTGCCCTCTTCGCATCCCTCTTTCTTTGCTTTTTGTCTCTTTAGTCTCCTGGTTACATGCTTCCATGTTGTACGTGGGTGCGTCTTGCTTCGCATTCTGCTCGTTGTGTGAATCACGACTGTGAAACTTGCGTCTTTGCGTTCTAAACGATTTTTTTGTACAAGAAATGACGACATGTATGTGTTTGTATAAGAATATTAATACATATTAGTGAAAGTTTGTGTGATTGAGAGCATGAATAGTACAAATTAGATTGCTCAAGATTTTACACGAAGATGAGTAAAATTTGCACTGTTATTTATTTATTTATTTGTTTGTTTATATACATATTTTAAATAAATAAGTATATTTCTCTATGAAGCATTATAAAGAGATATCATCTTCTCATTGTAGTCCTTTAAAAACTTGCAAGCTTCCAAAAACATTTTAGGTAATAAAGACTTTTATATTTATGATCATCATTGTTTTCTTTGTATGAAGTATATAAATTGTTTTCTTATATTAATCCATATTCGTTAGAAAGATCATAATTGGAATCTTTTAATTTAATGCAAATATTCTTTTGTAATACTGTTTTGATCATTTTTATTGTATTTCTATTTTTTGCTAGTTATGCTATCATATAATTAATGCTGATGGCTAATGATTTTTTATGTAGACGTCTTCAGTATTTTGTTTCATTTGCATATAAGTTTTCTACTTCTTGGAATCTTCAAAAATCACAATTTATTTTGGCCTATTATGATTTATGTAATAAAATGGTTTATAAATAAATGAATATTTCAAAAATTAGCCATATACTTTTTATTACCTTTATTATTATTTTAATAATGATTTTTGCATCCAAATACCTTCTTGCTAGTTATATTGGATGCATTATATTTTAACATATTGAATTTGAGTTTATTATTATTATTAATATTTTATTTTTTATAAATAACTTATATACATAAACAATGTTTTCTTGAGATTACTTTAATTCCAAAAAGAAAAATTAAAAGTAAATAAAGCATGTTTCAATGAAATGATTTTCAAAAATGTTTATCATTTAACAAAGCAATGAAGTTCATCATTTAATTTTATTTCTATTCATTTGCACCTTTTTCTTGCTAATTTATCATCTAATACAACTGTATCAAGCTTGAAGATAAACACATGGAAATATCATTGTAGAATGTAACATGGTAAGTTTATCTCAATAAAGGAATATTTTTACATACATCATATTAAGTTTGAACCTCAATATTGAAAAATCAACTTCCAAAGTAAGTATTTTTTATTATTTATTTATTTAAAGACTTGTAGAATTTGGTTCTTTTCAAATATCATACAAATATTCATAGAAAAACACATAGACAAAAAGGATAAATCATTAGAATTAAACTTCACATAGAATTCACAATTTTTTTTAAAAAAAAAATACAAAAAATTAAAATGAAAAATCAAACAATATTATTCTCTTTCCTATTTTTTCTTTAGTCATCAATTTGAGGCATGTCTAAGCTTACATGTAGAACTCATGTACTCCAAAAATGCAAATTTGATGCAAATTTGAAATAAAATCCCATCAAGAAAGGTTCAAAAAAAAAAAAAAAAAAAAAAAAAAAACATACTTATTGCATGCGTATGTAAATAAATCCATGGCACAAACCCACAAAATATAAAATTATGATGGATGATAAAAAAGACATTCCTTCATCGACTAGAAATTGGTGAGACCCTTAACAACCCCAAAACCCTAATTGCGTTTTACCTTGATTTTTGCTTGAGCTCCGCTGAAGTTGCTCATCAAGGTCTGAATTTGCGCTTGTATTTAGGTCCTTCTGGGCTTTGATCACAAAACCCATCAGCTACACATTCTTTCTTGGCTTGTGTTTAGTTATGTTTGTAGGATTTGGTTGGTATCTTCGATTGCGTGTTGGTCTCTAGAGATGAGGAAGGAGGTGTAACAGAACGTTGTGGTCACTCTTAACAATAGCCATGGTGAGTCTTATGAATGCAAGGAGAATTACTTTGTGGTTGTGGAAGCGCGCATTACATGGTGGTGCTCTGGAGCGTGTGAGGGTGGTGCTTGTCAGTCCGCAGCATGCTGGCAATGTGGGATCTGTGTGCCGAGTTGCTACTAATTTTGGTGAATTTGATCGAATCCCAACATCGCTATGCATTCATTTCGTGTTTTCAGTTCTGCAGCTTTGTTGTGCATGAGGTGCTCGATTAGAATTCGCAGCTGATCACTTGCGATTGGAGAGGTCTGGAGATGGATATAACTGGATTTCTTTTTATATATTTATTTTTGTTTTAAGAATATTTTGTAATAATATGTGTTTGTGGTTGCGTTGCTGCGTGGACGTGGAAATATGGAAGACTGCAATGAGTTATGGTTGGTATGGTGTTCTTTAACATGCTCCGATTTTGTTGTTCAACAAAACTTTCAATGCTGCGATGTCCTCGCATTATTTTTGATATTACAATGTTCCTAGCAAGTAACAAGTACTTCTCTGCTGCTTGTAGGTGAACCCTCAATGTGATTTCAGGGGAGTGGAGGCACAGACGATGGCAGCAAATGTGACCTCGCGATCCAAACTCGAGCATATTCGTGTCACAGATACTCTTCCAGAGGCTCTCAAAGACTGTTCGATGGTATTTCCAAATTTCTCCTCCAAGTTCGTAGTCTCTATGTTTCCTGCATGTTTAATCTTCCAAAAATAATTGGCTGAGACTTTGCAGGTGGATGACAGGCTGTTGGATTCACTCGTCGCAGTGGAATATTGCGCATCCCTGACACACGGCTTGCCAATCTCTGCATCCCACCTCTAGACTCACTAAATCTTGCGGTACAGATTACTCTTCCATTGTTAACCCTGAAATTTTGCAATTGTTGAATTCCTGGGTAGATTCCTCATTATAGACAGCATCTTAACTTGTACCCTGTTTGTCCTGGCTTAGATTGTTTTCGGTCGAGAGGATCGAGGTCTTACGAATGAGGAATTGATGTACTGCACGCACGTTTGCAGCATTCCTTCGATTCAGAGTGCAGGCTCTCTAAGTAAGTAGACTCATCTTTGATTTCAGGGTGCTATTTTATCAGTAGTTGTATGTGTAGTTCAGGGCTTGGATGCAATGGGCACTTGTGTGCATATTAAATCGTGCATAGTATGCATATTATTTGGCCCTACTCTAGACGAGGAGAACTAATAGAAATGTAGAGCTAATGGATGTTTTCTTCTACAATGCAACTCTATCATCTCTCTCTTCATCGAGGAGCTCTAGATTCATTTGTGTGTTTATTTTTATTTATTTATTTATTTTAGTGATGTTCGAAAGGTTTGAGTTCTATCAAGCTTACTTTTAATCAACTCCCCGTTTGACCAGATCTTAGCCATGCAGTGGCAGTGGTGTTATCACGGCTATACGAACAGATTCCTCATGAACAAGCTCATGATCCCTCCAACTATGTACCGATTCATTCCACATCTTTCAAGAACTTACCAGGTTTGTCACACTAAGTAGAGTCCACACATAGCACAATTATCAGATCCGGTGTTGCTGCTGTCATTGCTCCTTCCGTACCTCTATTCCACAGCTTAAAACTATGGGTTAATTAATTTCGTTCAATTACGTTTTCTCACCTTAGGTACAGCATCTATTGAAGCCGTGGAGAATCTGATGAGACGATGGGAACTTGTCTTGCAAGCGTGCAATCAAGCCACTGTAGCGCTAGGAATTCCAAATTATAGAATGCAGGAGAGGATGTTGGTTCATGTACGCCGCATGTTATTGCGAACAGGGCCCTCACTAAAGGAACTAGGATTCCTACATGGATTTCTTACTATGGTTGAAACTGTTGCCTCTAGGATTCAAACCTCTCAAATCACTGAGAAACCTCATCCTTATCAGGCAGATGCTCAATCTGATAAAAGGAGTTGAGTTTGAGTATTTGAATCTCTGTGAGCGTCTACTTGGACTGATTTGTGCATACTGATCATGCATGAGTAGTCACTTTCCTTCTGTGAATTTTGAGATGTCTGTATTTCCTATAGCACTTTTTTCATCTATCTGTAATAATTAGTAAAAATAGCAGTTTTATCACTAACTGTACTCGATGACATCATACGTGAAGAACGTATAAATCAGGACTTTTCTTACTTAGTAACATAACTTGAACCTAAGTGTTCTTCCAACTCTGTCATTCAGGAACTTAATTGAAGAAACGTCATCACAAAGCTTGAGATCTTTAAAACTTTGTTTCAACCTTTAAATTCTGATGTAAATGGTTGTCTTCAAATTCATTTCGGTATGACTTTTTTCAACTTGTCTTTCCTTCTAATAGGGTGTTAAGTCACCAAAGCTTGCCTAAGTTCATCAAAGTATGATTTGATAGTTTAAGATTTATATTTTGTTGTTTGTTTTAAAATTAAAAGAAAGTTATGACTAAAATTGAAAACTTGTGGTTTTTGTGAATTATTAGCCAATTTGACAAAGATTTTAGAATATAATGTAATCAATTTATAATATTATTTTAATAAATTGTTAGTCTTGGAACGTTTCTTTTGTATTAGATAAAAAAATAAATATAAAGATTTTATTGTCTTTTAGTTATGGAAAATTTAAGAGTTTGAATATTTTATTATAAATAACATTTTTAGTATATTAAAATAATTCAATGTTGTTGGAAAGCAATGTGAAGCTATGTTTGGATTCAATTTCCAATATTATAACATATAATTGTTGATGTACACTATCAATTCTATATTTGGGCAATTTTAACTTGTTATAATTTTCCTATTTATTAATAATAGTCTATGTTTAGGCATATTTATAACCACATTGGAACTTCTATATCAACATCAAATTAAGAGAATGTTATACCATAATGAAGTCTTGATGATTGTTGATTTTTTTACTTAATACGACTTGGGAAATTTGCTAATTTTGATTGCTCAATATCAAGGAGATAAATCTCAAAGAACTAAAAAATTAATACACTCTTATATTATTCAAAAAGATTAAATAATTAGTCAAAGATGATATTATAATAAACTAGAATGGCTATTGCTAAAGATAAGAGGAGTTGAAAGTCTTGAAACAAGACTAATGTCACGGACACAGAATACAGACTTGATATCTATCAAGAAGTTCAAGAAGAACTGGCAAGAACTAGATTAATCAGATGAATACAAGAACAACACTAGAGAGGTGAGCTAGAGCTCCAAGAGATGTGTTGTCGAGACTGAAGAACTCTTCAGCCTTGATTCCAATATATACTCCTATTTAGGAAGCTTCTCAAGCAACTTCTATCAACTAGGAAGCTTCTAGAAGGTTCCAGAGACTTGCTTCTAGAAGGTTCTAGAAACTTATCTCTAGAAGGTTCTAAAGACTATGTCCCTAACATCTTCTACCAACTAAGAAGCTTCTAGAAGGTTCTAGAAGCTTGTTTCTAGAAGGTTTTAGAAACTTGTCTCTAGAAGGTTCTAAGGACTATGTCCCTAACATCACCCACTCTTTTAACTTCGAGGTCTCTGAGAAGCAATGTTGTTGTCAATCAGTGCCAATGCAAGAAAATGAAGATCTGTCGCATAACGTCTGCTATGAACTCCAACTGTTGTTCACGAGGTAAGTGGTTCATCGGTCCTTGAAGCCAACGGTAGAGGCCCACTCCTTCAACTTCTGACCAAGCATGAACTTCCGTGTCTTCATTGTGAAATTGTCTTGCAAATATGCCTTCTGGTTGACCATCATAAGCAGGCTCGGACTCAAATACAATCACCAGTGATCAGTTACTTGGTATCTTCCGTCGTCGTCGTGGTGCAGGTGGTTCTTCATCTCGGGGTCGCCTTCATGAACTAGTCGGTTGAGATAATCTGACTCGCATAGTATCTATCTCTTGGCTATCCATATCAGAAGACCAAACTATGGCTACTGAAAAAATTCTATTTTATCTTGGAGAAAATAACTACATCAACTACGAATTTTGGTAGTGCTCTCCCCCTTTCTTATATTCTTGGATGAGCAAGCTTCAGAAAGAAGCTATTGTCGAACCGGCTTAGGTTTATGAGGATGTTGTTGATGAAACTCCTGTACCTTTTGCGACGCATTGGTGAGATTTTCAGCTCGCTCCCATGTTCGCTCATTAATGTCGTAGCCGCACCAATGAACAAGATACTCCAACTTGCCCCACCTTCGCCAAGAATCCAGCACCTTTTCAACCTCGTATTCCTCGTGGTTCTCGATCTCAATACTAAGTGGCGGACATTGCACTCTTCCAGGAAAAGATGACTTTCGATAAGACTCCAACAAAGAAACATGAAAGACTGGATGTACCTTCATAGAAGCCGGTAATTTCAGACGGTATGCCACTGGATTGATTTGCTTTTGGATGATAAATGGTCCCAATCTTCGATAGTCCAACTTATCACATGGTCGCTTGGTCTTGATATTCCGTCGAAGAAGCCATGCTTTATCTCCAATTTTGAAAGTAAGTGCTTGATTCCGTAATCTATCTGCAGACGCCTTGTAGGATTCTTGAGCGGATTGTAATTGAAGCTTCAACGTATTTTGAAGCTCTGATAGTTGTTTCGCAAATCCTTCAGTTGCTGGATTGTTATTTGTTGATGGACTCAATAAATCAAGCTTTGGATGATACCCATAGTTGGAAAAGAATGGTGTGTATTGAGTCGACGCATGGAGGGTGTTGTTATATGCAAACTCGGCTAGCGATAGATATGTGGTCCAATCGTCTTGCTGATAGTTGATGCTGCATCGTAAGTATTGTTCCAAGACTTGGTTCACCCGTTCCGTTTGACCGTCAGTTTGAGGATGAAAAGCCGAAGAAAGGTTGATATCTATCTTTAGTATCTCAAAGAGAGATCTCCAAAACTTTGATACGAACTGGGTTCCTTGGTTTGATACGATATCATCTGGTAGTCCATGATATCGATACACATTATCGAGAAAGAGCCTTGTTGTGTCTTCACTGGACGATGTCTTCTTGCAAAGGACGAAGTGTGCCATTTTTGTAAGCCGATCTACCACAACAAAGATGCTGTCAAATGAGTTCGATGATGGCAGGTCCGTGATGAAGTCTATGGAAATTGAAGACCATGGTCGACGTGGAATCGGCAATGGCTGTAGAAGTCTATAAGGGCGATGCCGAGGATTCTTGGATCTTGAACAGATGTCGCAGGAGAGGAAAAAATCTTTCACATCCTTCCACATTTGGGGCCACCAAAAATCTCGAGAAATAAGCTCCAAGGTCTTGTTGAATCCAAAATGTCCCGCAGCTGGAAAATCGTGGCGAGATTGAAGAACTCGGAGTCGTGTTGGTCCTTTTGGGATATATAACCGCTCTTCAAAGTATAAAAGATCTCCCTCCACCTTAAACTTGTCGTCATTGGCACGCTGCTTAATATCAATGGCTACTGAATCTTCAATGGTTATGGCACATACCTGATTCAAGAAGTCAGCATCAATTGACATAATAGTAGCGCAAAGCTGAAATTGCTCTGGCTTCAACAATGTCGTATATTGTTGATCAAACACTGCTTCTCCAGCCTTTGGTACAAGATACGATCTCCTCGATAAGGCATCAGATAGTCCTTGCTGCTTTCCAGGTCGATAAGTGATAATAAAATCGAACCTAGATAGCAACATACTCCATCGAGCTTGACGTCGATTTAGAACTCGAGCCGACATGAAATACTCCAAATTCTTGTGATCTGTGTATACGGTCATTGGATGTGCAGCTCCTTCAAGAAAGTGACGCCATTCTTGGAAAGAATCCACTATAACAAGAAGTTCCTTATCGTGGATCTCATAATTGATTTCAGCAGCAAAGAACTTTCGAGAATAGAATGCAACCAGATGGAGCTTCTTGTCTTCTCCCATTTGTGAAAGTATAGCTCCCAAAGCAAAATCCGAAGCATCAGTTTCTAAATAGAAGGCCTTTGTAAAGTCTGGATGTACCAAGATTGGAGCCGTAGTAAATGCGATCTTGAGGTTTTGAAACGCCTTCTCTGCTAGAGGTCCCCATTCCAGCTTATCCTTGCATGTCAACCGAGTGAGAGGAGCAGCAACTTGAGAGTAATTCTTGATAAAGATCCGATAGAAGTTGGCAAAACCAAGAAAGCATTGTACGTCTCTAACGGTCTTCGGAACCTCCCAGGACACGATTGCTTCTACCTTCTTGGGATCCATCTTCAAGCCTTCCGTAGTCGCAACGAACCCCAGAAACTCCATTTCTATTTGGTGAAATAAACACTTCTCCAACTTGGCATATAGTCCTCACTCGCGTAGTTTCTCCAATACCAAACGAATGTGTTTTTTATGCTCTTCCTCATTTTTGGAGAATATCAAAATATCATCCAAATAGATAACAACAAAATCGTCAAGATACTCTCGGAAAATGTCATTCATCATATGTTGAAAGACTGCTGGAGCATTGGTAAGACCAAAGGGCATGACATTATATTCAAAATGGCCATACCTTGTATGGAACGCTGTCTTCCACTCATCTCCTTCCTTGATTTGTACGAGGTTGTAAGCTCCCCTTAGATCAATTTTTGTAAAGATCCTTTCACGTCCAAGTTGTTCTAAGAAACCAGACATCAAGGGTAACGAGTAACGATTCTTCTTTGTTACCTTGTTGAGGCCTCGATAGTCCACGCACATCCGCAACGAGCCATCTTTCTTCTTCACAAATAAGATGGGTGCTCCAGTTGACGATTTTGAATGACGGATGAAGTTTTTGGCTAGATTCTCGTCGATGTACTTCCGCAACTCCGCCAACTCCATCTGCGATAGATTGTAGATTGGACCAAAAGGCGGTTGTGCTCCTTCCTGTAAGTCTATGGCGCAATCATATGGTCTGTGTTCCGGTAGCATGTCAGCATTTTTCTTTTGAAACACGTCTTTAAAATCCTTATATTGCTTTGGTATACTTGCTGTCGAGATCTTCTCCCCGGTAGTTGGA